ATCTAGGAGTAATGAGTTCGCACAGTTTTCTCGATGCAAAGTACAAGGAATCAAAAACACTATCACACTCCACATGCACGTATAACAATGCACAGCAGAGAAGCTTTTTGAGCTACTCACTTAGCACCTGGGAGATACTGAAACTGTCAAAAGATAATCATGATCTGAAGCTCCTCCACATGTGCCCTGGATATATGTGCCCTACTAAATTTCTGAAGTCCGTCCTGAGCAGTTTGTTACCTTCACTGACACAAATAGTAAACATGTTCGCTGTCGTCAGGAACATTTCATTATGGCCCCTAAAACAGCTAGTAATAAGACCTCTCCTAAAAAGAGCAGTCTGGATCCTGCGGCGGACTTCAAAATTATCGCCCCATATCGAATCTGCCATTATTGGAAACAATTTCTATTGAAAAAGTGGCCTCCAACAAAATTACTGAATTTTTAACAATGAATAATTCTTTTGATATGTTCCGCGTGGGTTAACGACCCCACCACAGCACTTCCTGGTTCCTGTCAGGACTCTAGCTGCTGCATTTTGGATGTACTGCAACTGCTTACAGGTCTGTTTGGACAGACCTGTAAGCAGGCCATTGCAGTAGTCTAGCCTGCTGGAGACAAATGCATGGACAAGAATCTCCAAGTCTGCCCTGGACACTATATTTCTAACTTTGGCAATGTTCTTCAGATGGTAAAAAGCTGTTGATGTTATTGATTTTATGTGGCTATTGAAATTTAGGTCTGAGTCCAGTATTACCCCCAAATTTCTGACCTTGTCTGAAGGAAGTAGGGAGAGAGACTGAAGTTGACAAATGACGCCCTCTCTTTGTTTCTGGGGACCAAAGACAATGATTTCGGTTTTGTCTGCATTTAGCTGGAGGAAATTATTTTGCATCCAGTCACTGATCTGTTGGATACAGTGAAGGAGCAAATCCAGTGGTCCATGTTCTCCTGCAGTCAGTGAGACATAGATCTGAGTGTCGTCAGCGTAATTGTGGTAGGACACTTTGTTTCTTTGTATTAACTGACCTAACGGCAGCAGTAGAGATAAATAGGAGAGGTCCCAGATCGCCCCGTTACTCCACAGGTCAGGGCACATCATGAGAGGCTCCAATGTCCCAGGATTGATCCTCCAGGTAAGCAAACCAGTCTAGGGCTGTGCCATGACACCAACAGCAGTCCTGCATGAGATCTCATGGTCGACAGTGCGAACGCGGCACTAAGATCTAACATGACCAAAACTGTGACTTTACCTGCATCAGTGTGAAGTCGAATGTCGTTTGTTACCTTCACTAGAGCGGTCTCAGTGCTGTGGTGGGGTCTAAACCCAGACTGGAACATATCAAAAGAATTATTCATTGTTAAAAATTCAGTAAGTTGTTGGGAGGCCACTTTTTCAAGAATTTTTCCAATGAATGGCAGATTCGATATGGGGCGATAATTTTGAAGTCCCGCAGGATCCAGACTGCTCTTTTTTAGGAGAAGTCTTATGACTGCTGTTTTTAGGGCCATCGGAAATGTTCCTGACGACAGAGACATGTTTACTATTTGTGTCAGTGAAGGTAACAAACTGCTCAGGACGGACTTCAGAAATTTAGAGGGTAATATATCCAGGCTACATGTGGAGGAGCTCAGACTCATGATTATCTTTTTGACAGTTTCAGTATCCACAGGTGCAAAGTGAGTTAGCTCAAAAAGCTTCTCTGGCTGTTGCATTGTTATACGTGCTGTGGAGGTGATAGTGTTTATGATTCCTTGTACTTTGTCATCAAAAAACTGTGCGAACTCATTACACCTAGATTTAGAGGAAAATTCTAGGGGCAACTTTACAGGGGGGTTCGTTAATCTACCAACTGTTGAAAACATAACACGAAGATTGTTACTGAAACCTCCAATAATGTCAGAAAAATACATTTCTCTTGTTCTACGTAGAACCCGGTTAAATTCACCCAACTCATCTTTAAAGATTTCATAATCGCCCTGGAAATTGGACTTTCGCCACTTCCGTTCGGCCCTCCGGCACTCTTGCTTCTGTGCCCTGACCGAGTCTGCCTTAGTCCATGGGGCCTTTTTCTTACTGGTAACTATTTTAACCGTCACAGGAGCAATGGCGTCCAGAACAGTCAGAACACTGGTGGTGACAGAGTTATACAATTCATCAACAGTAGAGCATGGAGTTTTCTCAAAATTTAGCATTCCCATGAACAGTTCACTTGTGTTTTCATGAATGTGTCTTCTTCTAACAATTGTAGATTCAGCTGGTGGTTTGCTATCAAAACACATGTCAAAAAATACACAGAAATGATCTGACAAAGCAACATCAACTACATTAACATTTGATACATTAACCCCCTTTGTAATTAGCAGGTCAAGAGTGTGCCCTCTGCTGTGGGTGGGGCCACTCACGTGCTGAATGAAACCAAAGGTCTCAAATACAGAAGCCAGCTCCTTTGCATTTCTGTCATCAACATTATCAACATGTACATTAAAATCACCTGTAATAACTAAACTATCAAAATCTGTGCACACGAATGAAAGTAGTTCAGTAAAATGGTCAATAAAATCGCAACATGACTGTGGTGGCCTGTACAGGACAATGAAAAGAGTAGAAGATTGCTTTTGTTCCATTTTAAAAGAAATATACTCAAACGATGAAAAATTTCCAAGGGGCATTCTATGGGAGACAAAGTGCTCTCTAAAAACTGCAGCTATGCCTCCCCCCCTTCTGTTTTCTCGTATTTCGGATTCGAATTTAAAATTGGGTGGTGTTGCTTCTATTAGAACTGCATTTCCTGTATTTTGGTCCAGCCATGTTTCAGCCATAAGCATAAAATCAAGATCATAAGAAGTGATAAAATTATTAATTAAAAATGATTTGTTACATAGAGATCTGACATTAAGCATAGCAAGTTTAAAATTAACGTCAGAGTCGATTAATGTGGTTGATTGATTTCTACAGGGAACAGAAATTAGATTTGCAGAGTTGGACCGTCTAACTGCTGTCCTGTTTTGATTTCGTTTTTTAGAATTTAAAAACATTTTTGAGCTGGTGCGAGGAACACACACAGTCTCAATTGGCCTAAAATGTGAAAACCCTTGTTGTTCTTTAGCTCCCAGAGTCAGAAGGGAGTCAGCACAGTTCAGTGTTTGGACTGGTAATGCACTGCCAGACGGACAGGGAGCAGTGTTTGCACCGTTGTACTCACCCGGTGCTGGTGAGCAGGAGGCGGGGGAGTGCGGTGGGGTCCGAGGGGGCTCAGATGTAAACAGTCACGCCCCCCTCGGGGAACGCTGAACAACATGACGCATGTAGTCCATCAACAGGCTGCTACCGTATCTGTTTGGGTGTAATCCGTCTGGACGATAGGCTTCGTAACGTTTCCAGAAAAGGGCAAAGTTATTCACAAAGACAAAGTTAAAAGAGCTGCATGTAGCCTGGATCCACATATGCAGCGCCACAACACGACTGTAGCGGCAGTCACCTCTGTTTACAGTCGGGATTGGACCAGAAATAAAAACAGATAATCCGGAGGATTGAAGGAGGTGGAACAGATCCATAAAATGTTTCTTAGTGACTTCTGACTGCTGAAGTTTCATGTCGTTAATTCCCACATGCACGACTACCTTGGAAACGGTATCAGGCAAGGACTGAAGCAGAGGAGGGAGACGTATGAGCAGGTCTGGCACAGTAGCTCCGGGAATACAGCGAGTGACCGCGTTAAAGAAGCGGACGTGTCTCACGATGGAATCTCCAATAATCAGAGTGGTCGGGGCGAAGAGTGGACGTGGACGCGGCCTCGGAGAAGGAGCTCGGTGGACGGAACCAGCGGGTTCACCCGAAGCAGGACCCGAGCGCCGCTGAACACACGGAGAGGAGGAGCGGGGGTGCTGACTCTCAGCTACAGGCGACCCACGCTGTGTGCTCGGGGACGCTGGAGCGGTGAGCGGGGCTGGCTCTGGGTGCTGCTGCTGACCCGGTGGAGGTGAGCGGTGGTGATGATGGCTCGCTACCCCAGTCTGAGGCTGCTGCACTGGGGTCAAAGAAGGGGAACAGGCCAACATGGCTGGTGGACCGCTCTTTCGCCTGAGGACTGCTTCCTTTAGGAGCGTTTTCCTCGCAGTGGACTTGGATCCTCGGGCAACAGAGTACGCTGCAGTGTCCAGGGATTCTGCTGAGGGGGCCGGGATGTCAGTGGAGAGGGCTGCATAGCGGTTTACCAGACTCAGGACATGGGCCACGGCGCAGGATGGCTCCTCGGAATCCGCGGGCTCGTTATTCAGAACCGGGCGCTTAGGCGTAGAACAGGCGGGTCCGGAGCTGACGGATCTCTCCCACACGACAGTGTCACAATATGCAGCGCTCAGTGACATCAGCCGTGAGTGCTGCCCACCAGCGACTTCAAAAAGTTTGGACACTAGAGATTGTTTCTCATTCAACTCTGCGGTGAGACGAAGGACTTCTTTTCGTAGTTCTGCAATGGTGGCACGGTCGCTCTCACGGAGCTCCAAGGTGAGGCGACTAATATTGTGCATGTTTGAGCCAATTTCATTGTCACTTTCCATGTCCTCGTTAGCTTGTGTTAGCCTCTGTGCTACTAGTGGGTTTCAGTCGGGACTAAGCGCTATTTGCGGAAACCACTGAATTAATAAGATAAAACACTCAGATATATTAAAAAACTGAACAATAAAAACGCGCTAAAAAGTTGTTAAAAGTTTACTAAAAAGGTGCATCATTCTATCAATGTGCAGAAGCCAGTACTTTTCCCTTGTTTTCTCTATCTGAAGGCCAAGCTACATGGCACTGTGGAAGCTGCTGATTGGAGGTCAGCCGCATGAGGACCAAGGACCAACGATGGTTCCACATTTAATCACAAGAGCAAATAAATGCATAAAAATGTGCAATCGTGCCACAATGATTTAGATAAGAATCAGTTCAGGGAAAGACTTCAAATGCAAACATTTTACTAATCCACATTTCTGATCCCACAGCAGCAGTTTACTCACGGAGCGGCAGAGCTGTAGTTGACCAGACAGTGCAGGACCCCGAGCAGATCCTGGTCCCAGTACAGGTCCCGGAACCTCTGCTTCACCACATCCGCAAACTCCCTGAACTCCAGCTGCTTCAGAGAGAAGATGTACTCCCCTCGGAAAACACACACACACAGCGTTTCAAAGCATTGTATGGATCCTTCTTCTACTGTTAGAGCTTAGTGTGGCTGATACTGATGGGAAGAGGTTTTTTGTGTAGCCCTTTAATGGTTTCCGCGACTATTTGGTGGACTACGTTTTGAGTCACTAAATCAACTTGAAGCTTAGAACTGAAATATACCTCTTGTTTTTTTTGTTTTAGGGAATTTTACCATTTAACTGCATCTTAACCATTTGTTGGAGGCCTAAAATGAAATGTTGAAAAATTAGGGAGTTAAAAAACGAAACATAAAAACAAGCTATGTGTGATATTAGTGTTCCTACATCAAGCAGAGAAGGAGATTGTTTATCGCTCATCCTGGGGTTATTTTTGTCTAACAACGTTTTACATTATCAAGGCATTTGAACAATTAATTGCTTATATTTATAGGAAGATTTTCTTTGAGAAAAATGAGTAAAAGGTTGGAGTGAAATACAGTAGAACTGGAGCAAACTGGAATACAGCTGAGAGACTGTAGACTGAGATACAGAAAGATTGTTTGCGTCTAACGATTATAAAAACTATTTGTGTTTTGGGTTAATGGTTTAGAGTGAAATTAGTAAAAACATGCAATACATACACATTCTCCTATTATTACACAATCCCAAACCTTAACTATAATGTGTATCTCATTTGAATGCCCTGGCAAGCCCACGTAAACTCACAGTTTGGATGGGTATATATTAGGGTTGGGCGATATTTCTTTTGTGCCGGTATACCGGTATAAGTAAATTAAATGATAAGAAAATGCCTTATACCGGTGAAAACAATCATTTAACACTGAAAACAGCGAGCGGAAGACACGTTTGTGTGCGGCGCACTTTGATGATGCATCTGCGCGGCACGTGTAGCAGAGCGGCGTGCAGGGACAACAAGAACAGAGCAGAGAGCAAACATGGCTGAGGGCGGCGGTGAAGACCATGGTGAAGACATGCAGATTGTAGAAGACATTGTGCCAAAACGCGGAGCTACCTCAAACATATGGGAGTAGTTTGGGAACTAGATAAAAAGAAGCAATTGTGTGTTGACAGTGGATCTAATGTTGTGAAAGCAGCTGCCCTAAACAACTGGACTCGAGTGGCTTGCTTCGGACACTCGCTCTCTCTCTCTCATAGTGCCATTGGTAAGCTTTATTTACTGTTTACTGTCATTCATTTTACTTCAATGCATGTGTTTGTCTACATTGCAATATAATTACAAATAAGTTATAATTACATAATTATAGAAACGCAAAAGGATACAAAAAATATATACAGTATTTGATCATTTTGACTATATTGGGATTAGGAAACATAAGCCAAAGTGATCAAATAATTATTTGATAATGCTACACTTTTTATATTACAAAGGACAAACTTTTATATATTTTACAAATTACAAATGTTCACCTTTATTACATGTTACCTGCAATTTTCAGTATGTACAAAACAGAATTCTCTACAATTCAGTTTTGTTAATACGTTTTATATACAATAGCTGTATTACACATTTTGCTGCCAATAAATCAGTAAATGCACTTTGAGGCAAGTGTGTTTAAAATTATCAGTGCTAAGTTTTTATAGCTTTTATATGAGGCTTTGTTAAAATTATCACATCGTCATATCGTGATACATACCAACAAAAAACGTGATACATGCGGAGGCCCATATCGCCCAATATATATATATATATATATATATATATATATATATATATATATCTCCTACGGTGATCAATAAAGTAATTTATTTATCTATCTATCGACCAAATACCTACCTAATTACCAGCCTACCTACCTACCTATTTTTTTATCTACCTATCTAAATACTTATCTATATATCTACCTAAATACCTACCTACCTATATCCATCTATCTATCTACTGACCTACCTAAATACCTAATCTATCTAATAATTCATTCCATTAGTGCTCCCTGTAAATGACCTCGTCCAAAGTGTGAGCAGCTCAGAAGTCTTCATAATGGTCCTTACCCATCGCGATGTCCTCGTGTCCGTTGTCCAAACCAGTGCTGAGCGTGAACTCTCCCTTGAGCAGGTGGATCACCTCCTGCAGAGCCGGGTGCACCTCTGCGCGCGTCGACCCCGACGTCTCTCTGGTTTTAAAGCCTCTATTTTCATCTTTATAATCCATTACAAAGCTGCAATCGTTATCCAAAGCGGCTAGCTCGTTTTCCTGGACTTGAGCGATCTCCGGATTCAATAGTAATCCTTTCAAAGACGACGGCACGAGGGATAAGTTTATGTCCAGACCTTGAACCGAATTGGGGGCTCGCACCTGGACCGGGACCAGAAACAGCTGTCCGGTTTTGGGATCTTGTCGAAAGAGGTAATTGTTGAATACGCCGCAGTTGTTGAGGTTTGAGTTCAGAGAGGAAGGTAGAGAGAGTTGGATGTTGGAGACTTCAGATGGGGCTGTGGTCTCGACAGGAGCTGGGCTGGTTGAAGCTGAAGCGATGTTTGTGACTTCTTTAGCGGCTTGGTTCAGAGGAGGCTGACTTTCCCCAGAGCTGGAAGTGGAAATGGGGTCCAGGCCGATCTCCTCAATGTTCTCGCTGCTGTCTATGAATCCTTCCATGTACCTGAAGAGAAGAAGACAGTCTTGGGCTTTTAAAAGGGACGTCACCTAAAGTTTTTGTAATATAGTTGATAAAGTTGTTTTGCATTGTCATTTAAACACATAGCTATTTTTAGCCCAAATTCATGCATGTTTGAGTGGTTTATATCCTCATATACTGTACTGTACGTACTCCGCCATTGCTCACTCCTCAGTCCTCTCCCTACCGACACCTAGCCCCTCCCTTGGCTTTTACTCACATTTCATTGGCAATTTTCTGAATATGCGGCATGTGGCGTATTCATCCGCCTTGTATGGTCAATTTTGCTCAATGGGAAATAATAATTAAGTAATTAAGTAAGTCATCTTTATTTATTTAGCGCCTTTCACAAAGCGCTATAGAAGCAGGAGCCGGAGCAGGAGCCAAAGCAGGAGCTTGAGGAGGCGGTGGGTGTTAAGAGCTTCAGGAAGCTTTGATTATCAGGAAGTGGCTGCTTTTAAACTTCCCGCCTTACTGTCAGTGGGTTGGCTCGAGGCTGGCAGAGCTGTGTGATTGGCTGAGGCTCGAGGCTGGCAGAGCTGTGTGATTGGCTGAGGCTTGAGGCTGGCAGAGCTGTGTGATTGGCTGAGGTTCGAGGCTGGCAGAGCTGTGTGATTGGCTGAGGCTTGAGGCTGGCAGAGCTGTGTGATTGGCTGAGGCTCGAGGCTGGCAGAGCTGTGTGATTGGCTGAGGTTCGTCGCTGGCAGAGCTGTGTGATTGGCTGAGGCTCGAGGCTGGCAGAGCTGTGTGATTGGTTGGCCCTGGACGGGTGGGAGCTGTGGCACGGTCTTTCAGTCTGAATTTGCGCTTCAGCTTCATTTCTGTTTAGCTGCTACAACTGAGGGATTTGATCTTATTTATTATTTTAATGCCTTGTATTGTTTTGTTAAGCACTTTGAGTTGCCTTGTGTATGAACTGCACTATACAAACAAACTTGCTCACACATACCGTATACACATAAAACGTACCCCTCGAGTTCGTCTCCAACACTGGGACTCTTCTGCGCCGCGTCCTGGTTGGTCAGAATGATGGGGGTGAAGTGTGTGGCGGTGGAAGTGAAGGCTTCTGGGAGCTGTAGTTCTCTGTCTGGGTAACTGTGGGGAACAGGGCCAGGCACAGGAGCCAGGCGGCTCTCAGAGGCCGTGGGCACAAAGCCTACGCACAGTTACAACAACGCCAGACAAGGATCAAAGAAACGGCCACGCACACGTCACACACACGTCACACACACACGACTGAAGACTGGTGGGACAGATCACACACACTTTAGCGACACAAAAAATACATCTGCGTTGATCGTTAAGTAAATGTGTGATAACTTACCACCATTGAGTTGGGATGAGTCTTCACTGGACAAATGTGGAGCAACAATTGTTTTGGAATCCTCTTCGAAACAAGATACTGGCTGAAAAAAGTAGATGGAATTATAAATAAATTCATTATAAATCAATTAATTAGTGTACAAATGTGGCCAAAAGTGGTACTGCAGCCTCTCCCACTCTAACTGACTCAGGTTGCCAGATATGCAGACGAATCCAGCTGGGACCATAACAGCTGAATAGACAAGAGTTTTGTCGACAACAAATCTATAACCAACACCTTTTTCACAAAGATAGAAATCCTGGTTTTATTCCTTGTTTTGTCGTCAATGATTTGAGAATCATAACGAGACCTTTTTTAGTTCTGCGCCACATGGTACTTTACCAGTGAGATTAGCTCCACGCGGTGAGTTCTGGCGCCCGGATCACAGACTTTCTGATTGGTGAAACGGTGGAGGGCGGGACATCGAAATGAAAACAATAACCAGATTTAGAGGCTGGAAAAGTAATTTATAAATTCAAATATCTCTGAACTACTGTTATCAGTTAAAGAAGTATTAGAAAATAAAATGTTTTGTTTATGCCTTTGGGTCAGGGGGGTGACAATCAGAGCTGCACCCAATGTGATTATAATATTTACAGTCTATGGTTCTGCCTGGATAAAACATTGTTGTTTTTTAAATGGGATCATCTGAGAGGAGTGAGGAATTGGATATGCACATATATCTATCCAACTATTTTATTCCCCTTCGTTCATTTCTGCATCGGGGGGTGGGAGTCAGAGCTGAGTCTACAACGACATGAGTGGGAGTAGATTGAGAAGGTCTGATTTATCGAACCCACAACCTTCAGGCCCAAAGACCAGTGCTCTACCAACTGAGCCACTGTCGTCATGCACACTGTATGTGCATGACGACATACTGTAGAACTCAGCCTCACTTTGTGGAACCTGGAGATGAGTCGGTCCCACACGGCCTCGGCGCTGGTGCCTTGACGGGACAAATAATCTCGACAACTCTGCAACACACAAACGAGACAAAGAGTAACACACACTTCAAAGACATCCTGAACCGCTTTGCTTTTTGAACAACTGACAGAGGTTGAAGAATTAAAGAAGTTAAAGAGGATGAAAAATAGCAGCAGCTTGTGTGTTGATTTTTATACAATTGGGGCAGAAATGTGTGGCAAAAATTTGTTTTGGGCCAAATTTCAGACTTAAATAACAACCGAAACTCCTCTTCTGACCTTGATCAAAAGTATCCATCCCCCAACGTACGTCCCCTTTAAAATCTATGGCAGCTGTGGTAGATATGGATATGATTCTCTATCCTCTCAAAAGGTAAAGCTGTTTATTCTTTTTTTATGAAAATATCCTCAAGTTTTGGTAAATTCTTGGGCCACCTTAAGAGATTCTGTTAAATTAACATGAACTCTATACTAAATTAAATCAAAATCTCTAACTTAGCATAATAAAAAAGATGTAGAATCTGACCTTTTTAGCCGTGACAATCGTGGGTCTGTCGATGGGCGTCCTCTTGGCCATCTCCAGCAGAAGCCTCTTCAGCTTCCGAGGCATCGCCAGCTTCTGATTGGCCGATAAATTGAACTTGGCCGTTGCCCATAGAATAGCAGCGACTCCATAGACACACACCTGAACACACACACACACACACACACACACACACACACAGAGACGTACAATTAGCACTATATTAATAATAGATACAGCAAGGTTTGAATAAATGTTTAAGGACCATGTGACATGTTTCATGTGTTATTTTGTTTTGTAAATTATTTTTATAAGGTATGTTTTCAATGTTTTATTGTGAATTGATCTTTTGTAGAGTGGACCCCAGGAAGAGATGCAACCACTTGTGGAAGCTAACGGGGATCCAGATAAAAAAATAAACAAAAAATGAATGAATAAAAAATAATAATACAAATAAATAAATAAAAATAAAAATGAATAAAAAATAAAATAAAACAAAATAAATACATACAAATAAATAAATTAAACAAAATACATAAATTGGTGTCATGTGCATTGACAAATGTATCTGACCTTTTCAGTGACTATTCCATGTTCTTGAAATTCAGGAGCGAGATAAAACTCCTCACAGTAGCCTGGGAATGGAACAGTGAGAAAAGCGTCAGGACTAAAGACATATCTCAGCTGAGTTTTAGACAAACAATGTAAAAATACCGATGTTTTTTGGCTTTAAGAAGAGAACCTCCCCCTCGCAGCCCACGTACACCGTGTCCAGAGAGAGATATGCTGCAGGGACCAAGAAAAATACACAAATAAGAACACACAAACCCAATGCTTTCTGTTATTTCTTTGCAACAAAAGTGTAAAAAAGAGTTGGACAAATGCTGTTGGCTTCACTTTGCTCTCATGCATCCACAATCAGGAACTGTATCATAATTTTAATCAAAAAAATCATGTTGGACACATAAACCTTGTTGTTCAGTGATTTGTTAAGTCTCACTCTTTGGCAACTATAAACGAACGCTGCTGTTTTGTCGACTGCTCAGATCTGTCACTCCCAAAACAAATATCTGTGAAAGAATGTCCTGTAACTCTTCATATAAACTCCTCCACTGAGTCAGAGACAGACGGACCGGAATATTCTGTTCTAGTCACTTTCTGCGGAACAAAAATCTGAAATATATCCATCTCTCCGAAGCCAAATTCTTCTTTGTTCTTGAAGAAAAATCAGCAGTTTCAATGAGAACAACTCACAAATATTATATTTTGATTTATGACTAAACTATGGCCATAACAAGAGATGAGGAGTGATCCACACAGAGTTTCAGAATCAACGTTATTGCAGAAAAAACTACATTGGAATACAAACAGGAGACACCGGAGGCACCAACACCACAAAGCGCACACACCCACACCCACGCCCACACACACACACACACAAACACGGCCCCCGGGTCTTGACTTTGGCACTCCTGGTCTACAGTGTGTTTGTAAAGATGTGTTTGTGAAGACGTGTGTTTGTGAAGACGTGTTTGTGAAGACGTGTGTTTGTGAAGACGTGTGTTTGTGAAGACGTGTTTGTAAAGACGTGTGTTTGTAAAGACGTGTGTTTGTGAAGACGTGTTTGTGAAGACGTGTGTTTGTGAAGACGTGTTTGTGAAGACGTGTGTTTGTGAAGACGTGTGTTTGTGAAAACGTGTGTTTGTGAAGACGTGTGTTTGTGAAGACGTGTTTGTGAAGACGTGTGTTTGTGAAGACGTTTTTGTGAAGACGTGTGTTTGTGAAGACGTGTGTTTGTGAAGACGTGTTTGTGAAGATGTGTGTTTGTGAAGACGTGTGTTTGTGAAGACGTGTGTTTGTGAAGACGTGTTTGTGAAGACGTGTTTGTGAAGACGTGTTTGTGAAGACGTGTGTTTGTGAAGACGTGTTTGTGAAGACGTGTGTTTGTGAAGACGTGTGTTTGTGAAGACGTGTTTGTGAAGACGTGTTTGTGAAGACGTGTTTGTGAAGATGTGTGTTTGTGAAGACATGTGTTTGTGAAGACGTGTGTTTGTGAAGACGTGTTTGTGAAGACGTGTGTTCGTGAAGACGTGTTTGTGAAGACGTGTTTGTGAAGACGTGTGTTTGTGAAGACGTGTGTTTGTGAAGACGTGTGTTTGTGAAGACGTGTGTTTGTGAAGACGTGTGTTTGTGAAGACGTGTTTGTGAAGACGTGTTTGTGAAGACGTGTTTGTGAAGACGTGTGTTTGTGAAGACGTGTTTGTGAAGACGTGTGTTTGTGAAGACGTGTGTTTGTGAAGACGTGTTTGTGAAGACGTGTTTGTGAAGATGTGTTTGTGAAGACGTGTGTTTGTGAAGACGTGTGTTTGTGAAGACGTGTGTTTGTGAAGACGTGTTTGTGAAGACGTGTTTGTGAAGACGTGTGTTCGTGAAGACGTGTTTGTGAAGACGTGTTTGTGAAGACGTGTGTTTGTGAAGACGTGTTTGTGAAGACGTGTTTTTGTAAAGACGTGTTTGTGAAGACGTGTGTTTGTGAAGACGTGTGTTCGTGAAGACGTGTTTGTGAAGACGTGTTTGTGAAGACGTGTGTTTGTGAAGACGTGTTTTTGTAAAGACGTGTTTGTGAAGACGTGTGTTTGTGAAGACGTGCTTGTGAAGACGTGTTTGTAAAGAGGTGTTTGTGAAGACGTGTGTTTGTGAAGACGTGTGTTTGTGAAGACGTGTGTTTGTGAGTGAGACCTGGGAAGTCGATGTAGCTCTGCAGAGAGGACAGACAGGTGTAGCACAGGGACCAGAGCTCGTTCACACTCAGCCTCCGCCCACAGCGCCTCAGCAGCTCCCGCAGACAGATCCACTGCACACACAACATCATAAAATTGGAAGAAAAAAGAAAGAAAAGACACTCTGCGCTCCAACACTGACCTCATCCTGAGATTGTTGGTTGAGGCACAGCAGACTTTTGGTCATGTGGTTTTTTGCGCAAAGTCCGTTATTCAGAGCCGTCCCACAAGAGTCCTGCTCCAGATCTAAATCCTGACAAGAATCGCACGGTGACGGGACGCTCTCCTCGTTCCCGTCCTCTCTGATCTCCTCATCGATGTGCAGCGGCTCGTTCAGGCTCCCCCCAGAATGGTAGGCTCCCACGGTGGAGTTGACGTAGTCCTCGATGGAGCTGACGGCGTAGCATTCACAGGAGCCGCCCCGGTTCAGCCTCTCCAGCCTCCAGGCGGACGTGGGCTGGTCCTCGTCCGCTCCGATCTCGCTGAGGTCCGAGACGGGGATGCTGATGTCGCCGCAGGAGGTGGGGGAGAGCGAGGGCGGGTTGTTGGAGTCCGGGACGGAGCAGGATCGGTTCAGAGCGCCCCTGATGCGGTGGGATCTGCCCTGGGCTCGTCTCATCACCGGGGAGCTGTCGAAAGAGCGGAAGTCCAACTCGTCTCGGAAGTTCATGCTGTGTCCGATGCCGCTGTCCATGTCCTCGGCCCAGAGCGAGGAGTCCCAGGCTGTGCACACCTGCGGGGGGAAGGGACACTTATAACTCAACACAATCTGACAATCATTGCTGGAAAAAGATAGATACTGCTGCTAATGTACAGATGTAAACATACTGCTGCTAATGTACAGATGTAAACATACTGCTGCTAATGTACAGATGTAAACACACTGCTGCTAATGTACAGATGCTAACATACTGTTGCTAATGTACAGATGCTAACATACTGCTGCTAATGTACAGATGTAAACATACTGCTGCTAACATGTACAGATGTAAACATACTGCTGCTAACATGTACAGATGTAAACACACTGCTGCTAGTGTACAGATGCTAACATACTAATGCTAACATATACAGTAACTACACTTTGCTTGCACTAGAATATAGCTGCCTCTTATTTTGCCAAATATAAAACTTTTCTACTTTTTTTATGATTATTATTTTCAAGATTGAGATTTTATACTTTTATTGATGCTAGAGTTAAATATGTTGTTTTACTTTAATTAGTATACATTGTTTAATTATCTTGTGCTGTGTGCTACTCTTTCCTACTGTTCTATAACTTGTCATGCAACACTGAAATTTCCCAACTGTGGGACAAATAAAGGATCTCTTAATCTTCTCTTCTCTCTTAATAAAGGTGGAGCCCAAAGTTAGTAAGTCGAGTAGAGAATGATTCCAATCGCAGAGGTGAGCACCACAAGGCTTCTTCAGTGACTGGGAATGTTTTCTATGGCTGCAGTCAACCAAAGACAAAATAGGCAAGTGCCAAAAGCTCTAAAAACAATATTATACATATCTGACCCAGAAAGTCCTCACAAAAACTTTTATCATAATGGAAAAAGTGTATTGTGAGTGGAGAGATCTACTGTATTTTGTATAAATATCAAAAGCAGATATATTCAGATCTTCTGGTTTGCTCCATAGATTCTAGCTTTTCATTTTTTTCCCCCCAAAGAAATCCTTGTAATTCACATTGAATTGAATGCACACAATAAACCCTAGTCTTATAAAAGAAAAAATTCCATGTGCAGGTTTTAGAAAAAGCTTGGGTCCGTCTTATAATCCACCGTATTTGACAATCTGAAGCAGTGTACGTGACATGGTCCTGCACCTGGTGCCTGGACCAGCCGTAGCTCTGAACGGGAGTATCGGCACACAGGTTCTTAGCGTCTTCCTCCAGGCTCAGTCTTCTCAGCGGACATCCGGGTTTGGGACGCTGCCACCGCGCCTCCCATGAGCCGTCTGCCCCATCTGCTCACAGACAAAGACCACCATGAGTCCAGAGTCACAGACAGACAGAGCAGAGGGAGGACCTTGACCTTGGAAGGACTCGATGGAGAGAACCCTTCTGCCCACGGACGAGAGCCTCCGGCACACAGCTGTGGATGTGGTGTGGGAGAGGTGAGACTGGCCCAGACACAGGACGTCCTGCAGAGACACATAGGGACACGATCACACACCTGTGGAATCTGTTGCCGGGTCTAAGCCCACTCACACTTCCTCCTCCTCATCCACATCTACAACCGCTGTGCGTCCTCGGCCTGTAGCTTAGTAGTAGTAGTAGTAGTAGTAATCTTTATTTATATACCGCCTTTTCACTGCACATCGGAGTCTCAAAGCAGTTTACAATTGTGATTTTTGGGAGTGGGGCCAGTACAGGAGGCAAATGCCAGACCTATTGTACATATTTTTAGTGGTAGGGGAAACCGGAGCACCCGGAGGAAACCTACGCAGACACGGGGAGAACATGCAAACTCCACTCAGAAAGGCCCTGGTCCAACTGGGATTCGAACCCAGGACCTTCTTGCTGAGAGGCGAGAGTGCTATCCACTCAGCCACCGTGCTGCTTAAGCTTAGGTCCTGGATCTACAGCCTCAGTCCTCGTTCTACAGTCTGAGTCCTGGATCTACAGCCTCAGTCCTCGTTCTACAGTCTGAGTCCTGGATCTACAGCCTCAGACCTCGTTCTACAGTCTGAGTCCTGGATCTACAGCCTCAGTCCTCGTTCTACAGTCTGAGTCCTGGATCTACAGCCTCAGTCCTCGTTCTACAGTCTGAGTCCTGGATCTACAGCCTCAGTCCTCGTTCTACAGTCTGAGTCCTGGATCTACAGCCTCAGTCCTGGATCTACAGCCTCAGTCCTCGTTCTACAGTCTGAGTCCTGGATCTAAAGCCTCAGTCCTCGTTCTACAGTCTGAGTCCTGGATCTACAGCCTCAGTCCTCGTTCTACAGTCTGAGTCCTGGATCTACAGCCTTAGTCCTCGTTCTACAGTCTGAGTCCTGGATCTACAGCCTTAGTCCTCGTTCTACAGTCTGAGTCCTGGATCTACAGCCTTAGTCCTCGTTCTACAGTCTGAGTCCTGGATCTACAGCCTCAGTCCTCGTTCTACAGTCTGAGTCCTGGATCTACAGCCTCAGTCCTCGTTCTACAGTCTGAGTCCTGAATCTACAGCCCGTCTGTCCATGTGGAGCGGATCCCTCTCTCATTGTGGAGGAGGGTTAATGTCTAACAAGAAGGACTGTGGACACTTTAACATTCTACAACATGTTTGACATTTATCAACATTCATGGACATTGGTCTCCTGATGGTCCAAAACCATGTGTTCTATACATGAATTGAATGAACTTATCCTAGTCTCTCCATGGCCTCGCACCAAAATATATTAGTGACATGTTAGTCCCATATGAACCAGCCCGGACTCTGAGGAGCACAGGGACTGGCCTCCTGCTGGGACTCTGAGGAGCACAGGGACTGGCCTCCTGCTGGGACTCTGAGGAGCACAGGGACTGGCCTCCTGCTGGGACTTTGAGGAGCATGCAGGGACTGGACTCCTGCTGGGACTCTGAGGAGCACAGGGACTGGACTCCTGTTAGTGCCCAGAGTCAGAACTAAACATGGGGAGGCTGCTTTTCAGATTCATGCTGCTAAAATCTGGAACAGTCTTCCTGAAGATGTGAGACAGGCCTCCTCTCTGACAATGTTTAAAACCAGGTTAAAGACAGTTCTGTTTAGCTGTGCTACAACTGAGGGATTTTATATTTTTATATTTTTAATGCACTGCGATTATGATTTTAATGCTTTAATTTTGTTCAGCACTTTGAGTTGCCTTGTGTATGAATTGTGCTATACAAATAAACTTGCCTTGCCTTTTAATCATGACCAGAGGTGAGGAAGGAAGTGTAGATGGCACAGTCAATTGGGAACTTTGCGTTTCGAGTCCGCTCCCTCTTCACCACAACAGTAGTCTACCTGTGTCTATTATGGCACTTACATGATCCTGTAATATCAGGCCTTTATGTTTATAGTTTATTAAAAGGAGCATTCCACTTTGGACTCATATATATCATTGTTTTGCCTGGATATTCACACTTTGTCATTTTACTTGTGTATATCTGTGGAGGGGCCTGTCCTCTCACCCGAAAAATAATATTTTTTTAGTTCAATTTACATTAAAAATACACTCATTTGCATCAATATGTTTCCATAGGTTTCAAAAGGAAGACCATAGAGCACAGGTGTAAAAATCAAGGCCTGGGGGCAAGATCCGGGCCGCGAGACCATTTCCAGTGGCCCTTGAGATTATTTTAAATGATTATATTAAATAGCAGCATAAATGGTAACAGGCGACAATGGCATGTTATCCATTACTAAGAAAACAACCATAACATTTAATTCAATAAGAAACTACTAAGGATTTACCAATTTTCTAAGGAAAGAACCGCCCTCTCCACTTTTTGAACAAACCTGTCTGGTCTTATTTGACGAGCACAAATCACCAGAATGATTGACAGTTGGGAGAACCAATCATCTTGATAATCCACCCAAAAGTATAAAATCTTCCTAGATACCTTCAATATTTGGTTCAGTTTTGGTTCCGTCCACAGAAACTGAACTTATTCTAATCAGAAAAGAAAGTCCAATCTAACTAATGTGAAACAAGTAATTTATACATTTACCTTCACATTCCCAAAACGTTTTATAAATGAAACCCACTAATTTTTTTGGCCCCTGAACAGCACTTTATTTTTTTATTCTGCCCTGAACCAAAATAAGTTTGACACCCCTGCCATAGAGGACTTTGACCATACTATGATCCATGTATCTTATTGCACTGCCCCAGCTTCACCAGCAGATGTCGTGGTTGAGTAAAGAAGAGAAACCTCCTCTGTATCAAAGCCATGTGGAAGCTCCAGGCACGGGCTTAATTACTGCTGTGTGGTCCCAGCTCGTGTAAGCGCCGTGTGACTGGTAATTTACACTAAGACTAACGATGTGATTAGGAGACACCAGCCGTGATTAAAGCGTCCGTCTCAATCTCACTCGGATTTATCGGCCGTGAACGTCTGCTTAACTGCACTGACGGTTTGTGCTGAAGGAGTCTAATTTCTTAACAGCTGAAAATGAGAATCGAGTCGAATATCACGGCTTCTTGTTAAAAAAAACGGGACAAACACGGCGGGAATTGAACTGTTAACATGCCACTGGTGTCTGCGGCCCAGTTATTTCTGTCATTCCATGCAATTATTGTTGGAATCATGTTAACTAATAATGCGAATAAGAAAGAGAGATATTATAGGAGAGAGAAAGGAGAATGTTAAAGCTGGGGTGCGTAACTTTAAAAACACAAAAATAATCGAACTGTAGTCAAATCTCACGAGCATTTGTTTTTAGTTGCAAATTTTTCTAACAATAGTTTTCACACGCATGTATTTTTGGCCTGTGTCACATTTTTATTTATTCTTTTCTAATACGACAACGACAGAATGTTGTGGTTTTTGATGTCCTCAAAAACTTGTGCTAATTCTCTTATCAAAAACAGAGCTGGGGTTGTTTTTAGAGCCATCCACGTTTGGATTTAAAACACTATAATATCTTGTGCAGCTGTTGGTGTGTGTCTTTAAATGAGAAATGGGTTATTGTATAAATAGCACAGGTGCATTGTGGGACCTCACGTTCATTCATCTTCTGGTGCTGAGGTCGCAGGTGACTGGAGCCTGCATCAGCGTTTCCCTTTGCTTCATGATAGGTACTGTACCGCTGATAGTTACTGTACCACTGATAGATACTGTACCGCTGATAAATACTGTACCGTTGATAGGTACTGTACCGCTGATAGGTACTGTGCCGCTGATAGGTACTGTACCGCTGATAGATACTGTACCGCTGATAGGTACTGTGCCGCTGATAGGTACTGTACCGCTGATAGGTACTGTACCGCTGATAGATACTGTACCGCTGATAAATACTGTACCGTTGATAGGTACTGTACCGCTGATAGGTACTGTGCCGCTGATAGGTACTGTACCGCTGATAGGTACTGTGCCGCTGATAGGTACTGTACCGCTGATAGGTACTGTGCCGCTGATAGGTACTGTACCGCTGATAGATACTGTACCGCTGATAGGTGCTGTACCGCTGATGTGTACTGTACCGCTGATAGATACTGTACCGCTGATAGGTACTGTACCGCTGATAGGTGCTGTACCGCTGCTCAAAACAGTTGACTTTGTGTTCTTTGTGTTCTTGAGATTTGTATTTGTTTTTTTTTTTTGTTTCACAGGAACAATGCTTTCATTCATAGTCAGGGCCAAAGATGAAACTGAGAGGACGGATGGAGAGTTAGGGTCACTTCTGAAGGCACTTGAGTTATGAGTGCCCTCAACAGAAAAGTGCCTCCAATAGAGAAGGGCACTTGTTCATACAGTATTCTCCTTAAGAAATAGAACACCCATAGATTTAGGGGACACTCATGGATCTAAGGAACACCCATGGATCTAAGGGACAAATGGATCTAAGGGACACCCATGGACCTAAGGGACACCCATGGATCTAAGGGACACCCATGGATCTAAGGGACAAATGGATCTAAGGGACACCCATGGATCTAAGGGACCAATGGATCTAAGGGACACCCATGGATCTAAGGGACACCCATTGATCTAAGGGACACCCATGGATCTAAGGCACACCCATGGATCTAGGGGACACTCATGGATCTAAGGGACACCCATGGATCTAAGGGACAGCCATTAATCTAAGGGACACCCATGGATCTAAGGGACACCCATGGATCTAAGGGACACCCATGGATCTTAGGGACACCCATTGATCTTAGGGACACCCATGGATCTAGGGGACACTCATGGATCTAAGGGACACCCATGGATCTAAGGGACACCCATGGATCTAAGGGACACCCATGGATCTAAGGGACACCCAAGGATCTAGGGGACACCCATGGATCTAGGGGACAACCATGGATCTAAGGGACACCCATGGATCTAAGGGACACCCATGGATCTAGGGGACACTCATGGATCTAAGGGACACCCATTGATCTAAGGGACACCCATGGATCTAAGGGACACCCATGGATCTAGGGGACACCCATGGATCTAAGGGACACCCATGGATCTAGGGGACACCCATGGATCTAAGGGACACCCATGGATCTAGGGGACACCCATGGATCTAGGGGACACCCATGGATCTAAGGGGTCTAATGAAGACTAAAAAAACAGAAACATATATGATTTTAATTTTTTAACAGCAGTAATTGTGAGATAATTATTGAGATAATCACATAAAATACATTGCTTTGAATATTGAAACGTTTTGAGGACAAACCACATCACCCCCATCCTCAAACAACTACACTCGCTCCTTGTTCCATAACGCATCCAATTCAAGGTCCTCCTCCTCCTCATCAACAAGTCCCTCCTCAATCTGCCCCTTCACACCTCACTGACCTCCTCATCATCTCTGTCCCACCCGCCGCCTCACACCTCCTCACACCTCCTCACACCTCCTCACATCTTCTCACACCTCCTCAGACGTCCTCACACCTCCTCAGACCTCCTCACACCACCCCTCCTCACACGTCCTCAGACCTCCTCACACCTCCTCATATCTCCTCACACCTCCTCAGACCTCCTCACACCTCCTCACATATCCTCACACCTCCTCACACCTCCTCAGACCTCCTCACACCTCCTCACACCTCCTCACATCTCCTCACACCTCCTCACACCTCCTCAGACCTCCTCACACCTCCTCACACCTCCTCACACCTCCTCACATCTCCTCACACCTCCTCACACCTCCTCAGACCTCCTCAGACCTCCTCACACCTCCTCAGACCTCCTCAGACCTCCTCACACCTCCTCACATCCCCTCAGACCTCATCACAACTCCTCACACCTCCTCAGACCTCCTCAGACCTCCTCACACCTCCTCAGACCTCCTCAAACCTCCTCACACCTCCTCACACCTCCTCAGACCTCCTCACACCTCCTCACCCCTCCTCAGACCTCATCACACCTCCTCAGACCTCCTCAGACCTCCTCACACCTCCTCAGACCTCATCACACCTCCTCAGACCTCCTCAGACCTCCTCAGACCTCCTCAGACCTCCTCACACCTCCTCACATCTCCTCAGACCTCATCACACCTCCTCACACCTCCTCAGACCTCCTCAGACCTCCTCACACCTCCTCAGACCTCCTCAAACCTCCTCACACCTCCTCACACCTCCTCACACCTCCTCACACCTCCTCAGACCTCCTCAGACCTCCTCAGACCTCCTCACACCTCCTCACATCTCCTCAGACCTCATCACACCTCCTCAGACCTCCTCAGACCTCCTCAGACCTCCTCAGACCTCCTCAGACCTCCTCACACCTCCTCACATCTCCTCAGACCTCATCACACCTCCTCACACCTCCTCAGACCTCCTCAGACCTCCTCACACCTCCTCACACCTCCTCAGACCTCCTCAAACCTCCTCACACCTCCTCACACCTCCTCACACCTCCTCACACCTCGTCAGACCTCCTCAGACCTCCTCAGACCTCCTCACACCTCCTCACATCTCCTCAGACCTCATCACACCTCCTCAGACCTCCTCAGACCTCCTCACACCTCCTCAGACCTCCTCAGACCTCATCACACCTCCTCACACCTCCTCACACCTCCTCAGACCTCCTCACACCTCCTTAGACTTCCTCACACCTCCTCACACCTCCTCAGACCTCCTCACATCTCCTCAGACCTCCTCAGACCTCATCACACCTCCTCAGACCTCCTCACACCTCCTCAGACCTCCTCAGACCTCATCACACCTCCTCACACCTCCTCACACCTCCTCAGACCTCCTCAAACCTCCTCACACCTCCTCACATCTCCTCACTCCCTTCTAGACTAAACACCGAACCTTGAGCCTTCTGAACCCCGAGAACCGAGTCTGAACCCTGAGGACCGAGCCTTCTGAACCCCGAGGACCGAGCCTTCTGAACCCCGAGGACCGAGCCTTCTGAACCCTGAGGACCGAGCTTTCTGAACCCTGAGGACCGAGTCTGAACCCCGAGGACCGAGCCTTCTGAACCCTGAGGACCGAGCCTTCTGAACCCTGAGGACCGAGTCTGAACCCTGAGGACCGAGCCTTCTGAGCCCTGAGGACCGAGCCTTCTGAGCCCTGAGGACCGAGCCTTCTGAACCCTGAGGACCGAGCCGTCTGAACCCTGAGGACCGAGCCGTCTGAACCCTGAGGACCGAGCCGTCTGAACCCTGAGGACCGAGCCTTCTGAGCCCTGAGGACCGAGCCGTCTGAACCCTGAGGACCGAGCCGTCTGAACCCTGAGGACCGAGCCTTCTGAGCCCCGAGGACCGAGCCGTCTGAACCCTGAGGACCTAGCCTTCTGAACCCCGAGGACCGAGCCGTCTGAACCCCGAGGACCGAGCCGTCTGAACCCTGAGGACCGAGCCGTCTGAACCCTGAGGACCGAGCCGTCTGAACCCTGGACCTCACTCACTACAGAACGTTAAATCACTTCTCAAAACCCACCAATTTAAACTTTCCTTTCCTTAGATGTGTGTTTTGTAAAGCATCCAGAAAGCACTGCATAATTTTGATGTATTATTATTATTCATTATAAACGGACCCCGTAAAGTGAGGCCTCGGATCCCACTCCTAAAAAGCCAAATGTTCTGTATATGTTGCTATAAAGTTGCCTCTGGTTCACGCAATGTTGCTGCGTTTATAAAAAATATACGTTCAAAATCAAAATGAAATTATTTATCCGCTTTAACTGGGTCAGTGTTGCTGAGACTGCTCCAGTTTAAAATCTTGGATCCAGAATGTTCCAAGTCTCAGAGAAAAGTGGGACAGATGCCAACATGACCTGGTTTCAAACTGTTTGATGTTGTTTTATGAAATCTGCACAAGTTTGCCTTAAATAATAACACAACAAAAATAAAATGAGGTAAATCAGAAAAGTTTCATGTATTTTGCTAAATAAATATTTAGGCAAATTAAGTGTAAAACTGACTTCATTTGGTTACAGTGGTTCTGTCCTTGAGCAAGACACTTCACCCACATTGCATAGAATGAGTCTGATGCGTTTAGAATTGAGCTGGAGGTCCGCACCTTGAGAGAGGGTCTGTCCTCGGGCCGCTCCTGCTGCATCTGCTCCAGGACAGACGTGAGCTCCTGCCCCAGATCAGCCTCCTGCTCTGGCTCCACCACAAAGCTAAGGGCCGCGGACAGAGTGGAGCCCAGGGAGAAGACATGGCCCTGCAGAGGAGGGACAAGGGACATTAGAGACATCAGGGACATCAGAGACATAAGGGACATCAGAGATATCAGAGACATCAGAGACATCAGAGACATCAGGGGCATCAGAGACATCAGAGACATCAGAGATATCAGAGACATCAGGGGCATCAGGGGCATCAGAGACATCAGGGTCATCAGAGACAGAGTGGAGCCCAGGGAGAAGACATGGCGCTGCAGAGGAGGGACAAGGGACAAGGGACATCAGAGACATCAGGGACATCAGGGACATCAGAGACATCAGAGATATCAGAGACATCAGAGGCATCAGAGACATCAGAGACAGAAGCACACTACGACAGGATCTAAACCAGGTGTCTCCAAACCTCTTTCACCCAGAGAGCTACTTTCCCGGGACGATAGAGGCAGAGAGCTACTCCTTTCAAGGCAGAGAGCTACTCCTTTCAAGGTAGAGAGCTACTCCTTTAAGCGCACTGGGAAAAATGTGGTGATATTTTGGTGTGAACTAGCCTAATACTGGTTACAATCATTATTTATCATCGCACATATATATAACTAGTGACCAAGTATAAGTATAGTAATAGTGTTAATGAATAATACAGTCTGAAATATTAAGTATATTTGATTTGTTCATTTCTAAATCCTTTGGCGAGCTACATGGAAGGGGTTGGCGAGCTATTGGTGGTTCCTGAGCAACAGGTTGGAGACCCCTGATCAGAAAAGTTAACGCAAGATAAGACATACTGTATTTCAACAATTAATCTTTCTGTCATTATTTTTGCAATAACATTTCTGTATTATACATTTTTCTTCTTCTTTTTGAAATCAAGTTTATTCAAGAGTCCTTGCAGAGAGTAAGTTATTATAAGTATCAATCAATCAACGTTTATTTATAGAGCGCCTTTCCTACACAAGGCAACGCAAAGCGCCTCACAACCCATATAACATCATGCATAAATCATCAAACATTAGAATTTAAGTAAACATAAAAAGACAGATTAAGAGCACAAGATATATAAAATCACACAAGTAGTTAAAAACCGTAAAACATTAAAATCACACAAGGGATTGCAATCATAAATAATCATAAATAATCATAGCGCCTTAAAAAGATTAAAGGATAAAAAACCAATTGTAAAATCCATTCCCTTGTTCTGCACAGCTAAAAAGGGCAAATCTGTTTTCAGTTTCATGTTTTAAAACACTGCTAGCGAGCCGCCTGTCTCACACTCTCGGGCAGACGGTTCCGACTCTAGCTGCATGAATCTGAAACGCAGCCTCCCCATGTCTAGTTCCGACAGACGTTCGGAGCTCTGCCAAGTCGTGTAATCTATAGAATTTTTGTGGATTTGCCGCGGTTTTGGTTCAACCCACAGTTTTAAATATAACAGATGAAAAGACTTATTCCTGTCTGTGTCAAACTGGAATGCACTTTGTATTGGGAGTAATGCCGCTCATATGTTTTTTTTTTCTAGCTTCACGTTGTCATTCTGGCCAAACTTTGTAAAAACCATATTCATAGCAGGGCGCCATTGGGGGGGGGGGTAGGGTATATGTGGGGTGGGGGGGGTGTGGAGGTGGGGGGGGGGGGGGGTATTATATATATATATTGGGGGGAGAATGGGGGTTTAATATGATAAAGCCACAATTCTGATCAGTGATGATGGATGTGCTGTAATTAGATATAGACCGGTGCAGAGCGGAGCCTTGTTTTGTTTACGCTGGACTTGTCTGTCAAAACCCAGGACGCTCACGTGCAGAAGCAGATCTCGCGCACCGGCAGCGTCTGACCAGCGTGGGGCTGACCTTATTGTATTTAAAATTAATTAAAAAATTAATAAAATATATACCCGACCACCAGCGGAACTTTAATGATACTTTAAAGTATCTATCTATGTGCAATATATAAAAGGACAATTGGCACTATCAACGGAAATGTTGTGACATATTCAAATAGACAAGTTTATACACATTGAAAACGATAAAATCTGACGCAATAAATACTTGAATAATTTGTGTCTTAAAGGAGCAATATGTAAAAATCTGGCTAAAAGTGGTACTGCAGTCACAGTCAATATGTTGTAGTCCTCTCCCACTCTCCCTGACTCAGGTTGCCAGATAAACACCAAATCCAGCAGCAAACACAGGGGATTATTTTATCAGTTGTTTGTCTCTCACATTGCCATGAGCCGTGCTAATGTTGAATGAATGTTTTATTTTTATTTGGACATTTGAGATTAAAACAAAACAAAATAAAAGCAATATAATGATAGATTATGCAAAATAAAAAAGCAATTGATGTCCAAAATAGGAGTGGGAAGAATGGATGTTTGAACATATTTCTTCAACATCAGGGTTTGCTCCAGAGGATATACTCTTCAATGTTATTTATTCCCTATTTTTTGGACAAACATGTATAAGTCCCACATCAAAAAGAGACTAACATTATTTTAATTAGGGTACATGTGGTCTCAAATTATTTTTTTTACAATTAAGCTATAACCCGCAAAAAACGTCTTGACCTTCATCTTTTACCGTTTTTTAGAGCAATCTGTCATAGAATGTGAATTAAATACAACATGACTCTACCTAGACTAGAACCCGGGTCAATGGATTGTAAGCGCAATGGCTTAACCGCTAGACCACCTGTGCACACAAAAACGCACTCAGAGCAGCAAGTTTTGCATCACACAAAAAGTTTTGTCCGCTGTCTCAATTTTTCAAAGGCGTCCCGATATAAATCCTCGTTTCAGTCTCTGTTTTGTCATTAATGATTTGAGAGTAATAACAAGACCTCATTTAGTTCTGCGGCCACATGTTATTTTACCAGAGAGATTAGCCGCGCTGAGTTCTGGCAACCCGCCTTTTGAAATATTGGGGCCATTTAATAATGACTTGACATGCAAATATTACATATTGCTACTTTAATTTGAGTAGATTGTGACTGTGTTAAACCAAGATTTTCGAAGGAAAAAACCAACTGTTGCTTTTTTTCTCATTCCAATCGAGACATTAATGTGTACTCAGCAAAAAAAAAATAATAATAAGGTAATACATGCTTGCATTTTATCTTCATTTGAGCACATGTTGACTGTCTAAAAACAAGATTTATCAATGGGACAAGCAAAAATGTCTGTTTTTTAAAAAGATACAAGAAAACTCAAGAATTGTCTTCCTTGGAATGAAAAATAAATTGCAAGCAGCAATTTCTTTGCACAATTTGTATGAGTGGAATATGACAATTGTTCTTATTGTTGACCGTTAAAAGAATTGCTAATTTTTTACGAATCTCCAGGGAAAACATAATGCTGTACTTGTATCTGTATTCAATATCGGCAAGTCCTCAAAACATGAAACCAGATTCTGAAAGACTGGATTGTCTACTTTAAACAGAAAAAAAAGTTTGTTTCTAGCTGTTTTTGTTGTCCTGTAATCCCCGGCCGAATAGAGGGTCTCCTTGACGTCAATGGCAGTCAAAGAGTTAAGGTTCTAAATACAGTAAAGCAGATTAAGCCCACGGACCTTAGTTTGGACACGCCAGCTCTAAAATAACTTAGAGAGTACATGAGAAGTGGAATATATTAATAAATAGTAAAATAAATAATGCTTTAACAGTTGATTTGCCGCATTATGCCTCTTTAAATCAGACTGTAGTGTAAATCAGAGCGGGGCAGGGGGAGTGTGGGCCTGTCGGAGGGTGATGAATGCACTGGTCATATCTGTGTCGCAGTCACAGCTGAGAGAAGGGACAGACTCTGAATAACGGAGGAGGCGTCTCCACTCTCTGCTCCACTTGGATCTATTTTGCTGTTGAATTAGAAAAAGCATGTACAACTCACTTTCATAACAAAAAATTAAAGAAATCAATGGGCTTTGTTCCACGTGCTGAAATCGCGCGTCAACCAGGAACAGAAGTGGGACGCTTTTTTTAGACCTGTGTCGTCTTCATCGCAAAAAATGATGAGATATAAGGTCAAATTCTAGTCATCTGAGCACATTGTAACTGTGTTAAAACGAGATTCTTCAATGGGGCAAAGATGTAAAAATGTCTTAATGTAAAAACTGGTGCTTTTTTTTTCTCATTCCAAGGGAGATTTTTTTCTTTTTTCAAGATCAAGATCATTTTGCTCTGTCCCATTGGCAATTTAGGCATTTATATCACTTTTTGCAGTGAAGAAATGAAAGGGTCACCAAACCTCAGACTACAGGCCAAACTATACGACGAATCTATGAATCCCTCCATCCATTTTCTTCCCCTTAATCCACTTCTGGGTCGAGGGGTTGGCAATCAGTCAGAGAGCACCAGCCCCTCACTGTATTTCAGCAGGGGCTTCAGGCAATGCGGGGTTAAGTGTCAAACACAGCAGACACCAGTGTGAGTCGTGAAGTAGGTCTTGTGGTGGGCTCAAACCTACGACCTTTGGGCTCAAGTGAGTCACTCTCGCCCGCTGCCATTTTTTTTTACACGTTTTTCTTTTCTTGTCCATTCCTCATCAACAGATCAGAGAATCAGAGCAATGCAATAATAAACAACACATAAGAACCACCATTGGTCCATAGAGAGCAGTCCTTAGACCCTCCCGGAACGACTCAAAAAAGTAGCAAAACAAGTGGGCGGGGCTTAACCGGCAGAAGAAATGTGGGAGTAGTGGTCATTTTGTTGAAGTGAAGCCAAAAATATATTTAATCTGTCGCTAGATTGATAGAAATGGACAAGACGCTGTATATTTATCACTGATATATATTAGTGACATGTTAGTTCCATATGAACCGGCCCGGACTCTGAGGAGCACAGGGACTGGACTCCTGCTGGGACTCTGAGGAGCACAGGGACTGGACTCCTGCTGGGACTCTGAGGAGCACAGGGACTGGACTCCTGCTGGGACTCTGAGGAGCACAGGGACTGGACTCCTGCTGGGACTCTGAGGAGCACAGGGACTGGACTCCTGTTAGTGCCCAGAGTCAGAACTAAACATGGGGAGGCTGCTTTTCAGATTCATGCTGCTAAAATCTGGAACAGTCTTCCTGAAGATGTGAGACAGGCCTCCTCTCTGACAATGTTTAAAACCAGGTTAAAGACAGTGTGGGTTAACCCTGTGATTATTTATGATTTTAATTATATCTTATTTTGTTTTGTTCAGCACTTTGAGTTGCCTTGTGTATGAATTGTGCTATACAATTAAACTTGCCTTGTAATATATTTGCAGACAATACACAAACGATGATTTATGAAAATATGAGTGCATCCATTAGTTATTGAAAGATAAATCATTTTAGTAATTATTGTGTCAGAGCTACTTCCGACTTTACAAATAATTCTCCTCGGGTCACATTTCAGGCAGGACCCCGGGGACCCCTCGGTGTGAAAGGAAAGGCACCCCAGAGTTTTTGGTGAGTTTTTGCGCAGTGGGATCGAAGCCAATGTCCTGCGGAAGTGGAGGCTCTCATTTGTCCGCCTGACACACTTTTTGACTTTTGCTTTCGGTGTTGGTTCAGCAAATCCTCGACCTTGTAGACGGGACACACTTGAACGTTATCCTCTTCCAGAAATAACAAACTGGTTCAGTGCAACACCATATGGAAGCCATTACAGACACACACCAGAGATCCGTCCTGCTACGGACTCTACTGATCATGTTTAAAGCTGAAACCCAGGACACCCAGCTTTAAACATACTCTACTGATCATGTTTAAAGCTGGGTGTCCTGGGTTTCAATGGTGGAGCCAATGTATTTAACTTGTACCTATAGCTCCCAAAACAGGTTTTCCAAACAGAGAAGTGAAGAAGAGACAACCAGCCTTCCTCAAAATGCCTCAAGTTCTGATTGAGTAGTGGGATAGAGAAGCACAGGGACAGTAGTGGGATAGAGAAGCAGAGGGACAGTAGTGGGATAGAGAAGCTCAGGGACAGTAGTGGGATAGAGAAGCACAGGGACAGTAGTGGGATAGAGAAGCACAGGGACAGTAGTGGGATAGAGAAGCTCAGGGACAGTAGTGGGATAGAGAAGCTCAGGGACAGTAGTGGGATAGAGAAGCACAGGGACAGTAGTGGGATAGAGAAGCACAGGGACAGTAGTGGGATAGAGAAGCTCAGGGACAGTAGTGGGATAGTGAAGCACAAGGACAGTAGTGGGATAGAGAAGCACAGGGACAGTAGTGGGATAGAGAAGCACAGGGACAGTAGTGGGATAGAGAAGCTCAGGGACAGTAGTGGGATAGAGAAGCTCAGGGACAGTAGTGGGATAGAGAAGCTCAGGGACAGTAGTGGGATAGAGAAGCTCAGGGACAGTAGTGGGATAGTGAAGCACAAGGACAGTAGTGGGATAGAGAAGCACAGGGACAGTAGTGGGATAGAGAAGCACAGGAACAGTAGTGGGATAGAGAAGCTCAGGGACAGAAGTGGGATAGAGAAGCACAGGGACAGTAGTGGGATAGAGAAGCACAGGGACAGTAGTGGGATAGAGAAGCAGAGGGACAGTAGTGGGATAGAGAAGCACAGGGACAGTAGTGGGATAGAGAAGCAGAGGGAGAGTAGTGGAATAGAGAAGCACAGGGACAGTAGTGGGATAGTGAACCACAGGGACAGTAGTGGGATAGAGAAGCTGAGTCACAGTAGTGGGATAGAGAAGCTGAGTCACAGTAGTGGGATAGAGAAGCACAGGGACAGTAGTGGGATAGCGTAGCTCAGGGACAGTAGTGGGATAGAGAAGCAGAGGGACAGTAGTGGGATAGAGTAGCTGAGTCACAGTAGTGGGATAGAGAAGCACAGGGACAGTAGTGGGATAGCGTAGCTCAGGGACAGTAGTGGGATAGAGAAGCAGAGGGACAGTAGTGGGATAGAGAAGCACAGGGACAGTAGTGGCATAGAGAAGCTCAGGGAAAGTAGTGGGATAGAGAAGCACAGGGACAGTAGTGGGATAGAGAAGCACAGGGACAATAGTGGGATAGAGTAGCTCAGGGACAGTAGTGGGATAGAGAAGCAGAGGGACAGTAGTGGGATAGAGAAGCACAGGGACAGTAGTGGCATAGAGAGGCACAGGGACAGTAGTGGGATAGAGAAGCACAGGGACAATAGTGGGATAGAGTAGCTCAGGGACAGTAGTGGGATAGAGAAGCACAGGGACAGTAGTGGGAGAGAGAAGCACAGGGACAGTAGTGGGATAGAGAAGCTCAGGGACAGTAGTGGGATAGTGAACCACAAGGACAGTAGTGGGATAGAGAAGCACAGGGACAGTAGTGGGATAGAGAAGCTCAGGGACAGTAGTGGGATAGAGAAGCACAGGGACAGTAGTGGGATAGAGAAGCACAGGGATAGTAGTGGGATAGAGAAGCACAGGGACAGTAGTGGGATAGAGAAGCTCAGGGACAGTAGTGGGATAGAGAAGCACAGGGACAGTAGTGGGATAGAGAAGCACAGGGATAGTAGTGGGATAGTGAAGCTCGGGGACAGTAGTGGGATAGAGAAGCTCAGGGACAGTAGTGGGATAGAGAAGCACAGGGACAGTAGTGGGATAGAGAAGCTCAGGGACAGTAGTGGGATAGAGAAGCTCAGGGACAGTAGTGGGATAGAGAAGCACAGGGACAGTAGTGGGATAGAGAAGCACAGGGATAGTAGTGGGATAGAGTAGCTCAGGGACAGTAGTGGGATAGAGAAGCACAGGGACAGTAGTGGGATAGAGAAGCTCAGGAACAGTAGTGGGATAGAGTAGCTCAGGGACAGTAGTGGGATAGAGAAGCACAGGGACAGTAGTGGGATAGAGAAGCACAGGGACAGTAGTGGGATAGAGAAGCTCAGGGACAGTAGTGGGATAGAGAAGCTCAGGGACAGTAGTGGGATAGAGAAGCACAGGGACAGTAGTGGGATAGAGAAGCACAGGGACAGTAGTGGGATAGAGAAGCTCAGGGACAGTAGTGGGATAGAGAAGCAGAGGGACAGTAGTGGGATAGAGAAGCACAAGGACAGTAGTGGGATAGAGAAGCACAGGGACAGTAGTGGGATAGAGAAGCACAGGGACAGTAGTGGGATAGAGAAGCTCAGGGACAGTAGTGAGATAGAGAAGCTCAGGGACAGTAGTGGGATAGAGAAGCTCAGGGACAGTAGTGGGATAGAGAAGCTCAGGGGCAGTAGTGGGATAGAGAAGCACAGGGACAGTAGTGCGATAGAGAAGCACAGGGACAGTAGTGGGATAGAGAAGCTCAGGGACAGTAGTGGGATAGAGAAGCAGAGGGACAGTAGTGGGATAGAGAAGCACAGGGACAATAGTGGGATAGAGTAGCTCAGGGACAGTAGTGGGATAGAGAAGCACAGGGACAGTAGTGGGAGAGAGAAGCACAGGGACAGTAGTGGGATAGAGAAGCTCAGGGACAGTAGTGGGATAGTGAACCACAAGGACAGTAGTGGGATAGAGAAGCACAGGGACAGTAGTGGGATAGAGAAGCTCAGGGACAGTAGTGGGATAGAGAAGCACAGGGACAGTAGTGGGATAGAGAAGCACAGGGACAGTAGTGGGATAGAGAAGCCAGGGATAGTGGGATAGAGAAGCACAGGGACAGTAGTGGGATAGAGAAGCTCAGGGACAGTAGTGGGATAGAGAAGCACAGGGACAGTAGTGGGATAGAGAAGCTCAGGGACAGTAGTGGGATAGAGAAGCTCAGGGACAGTAGTGGGATAGAGAAGCACAGGGACAGTAGTGGGATAGAGAAGCACAGGGATAGTAGTGGGATAGTGAAGCTCGGGGACAGTAGTGGGATAGAGAAGCTCAGGGACAGTAGTGGGATAGAGAAGCACAGGGACAGTAGTGGGATAGAGAAGCTCAGGGACAGTAGTGGGATAGAGAAGCTCAGGGACAGTAGTGGGATAGAGAAGCACAGGGACAGTAGTGGGATAGAGAAGCACAGGGACAGTAGTGGGATAGAGAAGCAGAGGGAGAGTAGTGGGATAGAGAAGCTCAGGGACAGTAGTGGGATAGAGAAGCACAGGGACAGTAGTGGGATATAGTAGCTGAGTCACAGTAGTGGGATAGAGAAGCACAGGGACAGTAGTGGGATAGAGAAGCACAGGGACAGTAGTGGGATAGAGAAGCAGAGGGAGAGTAGTGGGATAGAGAAGCTCAGGGACAGTAGTGGGATAGAGAAGCACAGGGACAGTAGTGGGATATAGTAGCTGAGTCACAGTAGTGGGATAGAGAAGCACAGGGACAGTAGTGGGATAGAGTAGCTCAGGAACAGTAGTGGGATAGAGTAGCTCAGGGACAGTAGTGGGATAGAGTAGCTCAGGGACAGTAGTGGGATAGAGTAGCTCAGGGGCAGTAGTGGGATAGAGTAGCTCAGGGACAGTAGTGGGATAGAGTAGCTCAGGAACAGTAGTGGGATAGAGTAGCTCAGGGACAGTAGTGGGATAGAGTAGCTCAGGGGCAGTAGTGGGATAGAGTAGCTCAGGAACAGTAGTGGGATAGAGTAGCTCAGGGGCAGTAGTGGGATAGAGTAGCTCAGGGGCAGTAGTGGGATAGAGTAGCTCAGGGACAGTAGTGGGATAGAGGTATGGGGTCGGAGAATGTTTGGGCCTGTGTGTAGTAGTGTGAGTGTGTGTGTGTGTCCCTAAATATCTCAAAACAGCTTTTACAAGAAAAAGTGGGAGAGAGGTGTAGGGTCGGAGAGTTTCCGGGATTGTTTGTGTGTGTGTTGTTAAAGCATTGCATTGTGGGGTATGGTTGTCAAGTCAATCTGTGATTAGACAGTCCCCTGACTTGATAGGGAAAGGGCTAGTGGTATTAAACGACTCCACTCAAGTTTCTTTGGAATTTCTTCTTCCTTTTATTTTTACTTTCATCAGGTGAAAACCTTCAAACAGTGCACACAAAAGAAACCCAGTATAAGGGCAGGTAGGTACTCTAAACAACAACTTCACAGATAAAAAATGTCCAACTAGGTTAGCGTTTATAAACTTTAGCAAAAATATCACAACTATACAACCATTTACATTTTTAAATATATTTACCATTCTTGAATAAACCGCATTTGATCCCTATTAGTTACTCTCAAAATCATGATTCAGTTGCTAGACAAATAGTTTAAAATACTTTTCCCATTTATGTTAAACCTAACAAATATACAGAATTAAACTGGTCAATGAAAGTCTCTGATGTTCACATTTCACCTGTGAGACGAAACCCTAAACACCCCAGCGTCTTTGAGCACATGACGAGCACATCGCTATCAACACACAAACGTTGCCTCTTACCGGCAGTCCCCCAGTAGTTGTGTTGCGAGTCCCCGTTCTGTCCAACTCTTTTTCTCACACGATCTCCTGCGTAACTCAGATGCCTCTCTCCTCATCGATTTGTTTTGGTCTACCACTTGAGCGGAAGTGCGTTGCTTAAACCAGTCCGGCCGCACGCCGCTAATTAAGTGATTGGTTTCGCTCCTTGTGAGCCGCCAGACTGACGCCCGCCGCGACAATGGTGGTTAGAATAGACAACCAATAGAGAATGGGGCCTCAATCACAGAATAGGAGAGAGGTATAGGGTCGGAGAGTGTTTGGGCCTGTTTGTGTGTGTGTGTGTGCGCGTGTGTGTATGTGTGTGTGTTGTTATAACATTGTTTTGTGTGGTATGGTTAGAAGAATAGACAACCAATAGAGAGTGATGCCTCAAGCACACTGCAGGTAATGGAGGAGAGGTGTGGGGTCGGAGAGTGTTTGGGCCTGTATGTGTGTGTGTGTGTGTGTGTGTCGGTGTGCACTTGTTTTCAACTCCTGGTGGGTTCCATAACCTGAGATTCCACTCACGTCATGGGGACTGGTTTTACGTGGTGGGGCCCGAACACCGGACCCCACTGGTCCAAGCTTAATAATCAATGGGTAATGCTTTTCTAACGGTCCTTATGCAGTCTCTGTAAAAATATGGAAAGGACCCCTGGAGGTTTACTTTCCTGAAAAAAGTGTGTTATGTGTCGGAACCCTGGTGGTGGGTTGCGGAATATCAAGGAGGGGCACACTGGGGCAATTTCAGTCCAGCAGGCTGGAGCCAATCATGGAGCAGCACAACAGAGGAAATCAGGTGTCAGGCTAGAAAAGGTGCAAGTGTGTGGTTCATTAGGCTGCAGCCAATCACAGAGCAGCACACTGAAGCGCACGCTTACAAACCACTGGTAAGTGCTGACTACAAGTCATGACTTCAAATTGTTATATAGAATTATTACAAATTATTTGTTGTTTGTGCAGCTTAGTCAAGAGTCCCTAATTGATGAAGTCGACTCAGATTCTGACGATTTAACTGTCAAGAAGAAACCTGTAAAAAAGTATGGAAAAAGAAAAATCAAAAACACTTTTCTTCAAGACTCGGAAAGTGACGAACCAAAGGCAAATAAGATTGTTATCATGCAGCTGCAAAAGAAGAAAAATGGGGGGAGAGTTTACAGCAAGAGACACTTCTGCCTCTACTGTTCAATGTCCTGCCACAAAATGTCCCGTCATTTGACTAGAAAACATGGAAATTAAAGTGACGTAGCCAGAGCATTGGCTCTACCTGTGAAATCTAAAGCACGTAAACTTCAGTTTGATTTGATCAGGAATAGTGGAAACCGTGAGCACAATTTTGAGGTTTTAAAGGCCGGCATTGGAACTTTAGTCCCAGATAAACAGCCAAATTCCCCAGTTAAATCCAGTGAGTTTTTGCACTGTATAGACTGTGGGGCATTGCTTAAGCGAAAGTCGCTTTGGAGGCATGTGGCCAGGTGCCGGCTTTCACAGAAAGATGCCCAGGCTAAACCAGGTAGAAGTAGGGTCCAGTCCCTCTGCTCCCTAGCCCAGCCTGTACCGGAGGGCATCAGCAAAAAGCTGTGGTCTTTAATTTGGGCAATGCATCAGGATGAGGTCACGGGTGTTGTCAAAGCAGAAAAGGGAATTCTGAGACTCGGAGAGCACCTGTACTTAAAACACGGGCATGATAAGACTAAGCATGATTACATTAGGCAGAAAATGAGAGAAGTCGGTAGGTTAATTAACGAAGAAAAATACGCAGGGAAACTGAAAACAATGAAGGATTTCTTTATTCCTTCCAACTTTAACCATGTGATTGATGCAGTCAGGTCTGTGGCTGGATATGATGAGGAAACAAATCAATACAAGACTCCATCCTTGGCCCTCAAACTCGGCCATAGCCTCAGAAAGCTAGCAGATATTCTTGAATGTGACTCAAAAATGGAGCATTGTGTTGATGAACTATTTATTAAAAACCTCCAACGAAGCCGGCTGCTTTTTGAGAAGAGGTGGGACGTCTGTGTTTCTTCTGCTGCCCTACAGACCCTCCGGCAAGCCAAGTGGAACACTCCGGACCTGCTCCCTCTGACTGAGGACGTTAGAGCCATGCATGCACATATTGAGGTATGTCGACCTGAATATGTGCAAACCCTAATAAGTGAGCCAACGTCTAAGCATTGGTCTAAACTGGCAGTTTTGACTCTTTGTGAGGTCATTATTTTCAATCGAAGAAGGGAAGGTGAGGTTTCAAAGATGCCATTGACAGCCTTTACCTTAAGAAGTAAGACTGGGATCCATTCTGACATTGCTCTGGGACTGTCCCAACTTGAGAAAAAGCTGTGTCAGCATTTTCAACGCATTGAAATTAAAGGGAAAAGAAGTCGCAAATTGCCGGTTCTTTTGACTCCTGAAATGATTGCTTCGATGGAGGTGCTGGTGGAGAACAGAAGGGCCTGTTCCATCTCTGACCATAACCCATACTTCTTTTCCCGCCCGGGCGCAGACACCCACATCAGGGGATCAGACTCCCTACGGCAGGTAGCCAAAGAATGTGGTGCGGTGCATCCAGAGATGCTATCCTCAACCAAACTTAGAAAGCACATAGCTACTATGTCTACAGTTCTCAATATGAAAGAGAATGAGATGGACATACTTGCCAACTTCCTCGGCCATGACATTCGCATCCACAGGCAATATTACAGACTACCAGAGGGGACACTGGAGCTGGCCAAAATCAGCAAAGTGTTGATGGCCATGGAGCAGGGAAGAGTGACGGAATTCAAAGGAAAGAGCCTCGACCAGATTCAAATTGAGCCTGAAGGTAATTCTTGATATTATTAAAATATGTATAATTTTTTTCCCCTAAAGGCCACTTGTATTTTTATTTTCTGTGCGACAGGGAGAGCAGTAGAGATCCTCTCACAAACGGACGGGCTAAAAGAAACTTCAAGCGGAGAACCTTCAACCATTCATCCAGATGCACCCCATGGTAGTGGCAGTGCCCCTTCTGGTAAGTGTACCAGGTGGGGGATTACAGCCAGGCTGCTTGGTCCTAACCCTGGGAGTGTATATTGCTAATATATTTTTATTTCTCTCCCTAGAACGTGTAAGAAAGCCATGGTCTGCATCTGAGGTGAAGGCTGTGGAGAAGACCATGACACCTTTCATACAGACTGGAAAAGTCCCTGGGAAGTCTCACTGCCTGGCCTGCATTAATGCCTCACCAGATGACCTTAGACATTGGACATGGAGTGGCATTAAATTCTATGTCAAAAATAGAATCACTGCAAATCGAAAAAAAAAATCTAAAATAAAATTCCTTTAAAATAGTTGTTTGGTTTCTATTGACTGTTTTGTATTACTTAATGTAGTCCCAGTAAAAAAAGATTATGTCTATGGGTCCCATTCTGAACGGCCCTGTCAAAGGGACCCACCAGGTAACAAAAACGTGTGTGTGTGTGTGTGTGTGTGTGTCTGTGTGTGTTTGTTGAGCATTGTATCGTGTGGCATCACGAGCAGAAATATAAGACTAGTTTACACACATAAACAATGTACTCAATCCCAAAGTTCCCAGTTTTAGTTCATCCAGAATATTTAAATACACAGAATAATTGGGATTACACATTTACATCAGGTGCATTCTATAATCATCAGAGCTCACTAGTTGAGTCTAAAAATAGCCTTTCGCCGCAGTGTGAGGAGGTCTGACATAAAAGCATGTCCCAGAACGCCCTGACATTTTTCACTTGGGCAGAAACATCATTATTCTACACTTTGCTGAGTTGACAAAAAACGTATGAAAACTCATGGATTTTTTAGACGCTCTATGTTCAGGTTAGGAACAACCACATGCATCAGTAGCAACAGCAGGAGCAGCAGGAGCAGTAGCAGTAATAGTAGTAGTAGCAGCAACTGTAGTAGTAGTAGTAGTAGTAGACAGGAAAGTTTATTTGTATAACACAATTCATACACAAGGCAACTCAAAGTGCTGAACAAAACATAATAGCAATAAAATAAATCATAGAACATTAAAAAGGAAGATAAAAATATAAAATCCCTCAGTTGTATGCACAGCTGAACAGAACCGTCTTTAACCTGGTTTTAAACATTCCAGCCACAGGAAGCCAGTGCAGAGACCTGAGAATTGGACTAATATGGTCGTACTTCCTGGTTCTAGTCAGGACTAATGTGGTCGTACTTCCTGGTTCTAGTCAGGACTCGAGCTGCTGCATTTTGAATGTACTGCAGCTGTTTTACAGCCTGTTTGGACAGACCTGTGAGCAGGCCATTGCAGTAGTCTAACCTACTGGAGACAAATGCATGGATAAGAATCTCCAAGTCTGCTTTAGACACTATGTTTTTGATCCTGGAAATGTTTTTTAGATGATAAAAAGCTGCTGATGTTACTGATTTGATGTGGCTATTAAAATTTAAGGCTGAGTCCAGTATTACCCCTAGATTTCTGACCTTGTTTGAAGGTTTTAGGGAGAGAGACTGTAGATGACAGATGACGCTCTCTCTTTGTTTCTGGGGACCAAAGACAATCATTTCAGTTTTGTCTGCGTTTAGCTGAAGGAAGTTGTTTTGCATCCACTCACTGATCTGTTGGATACAGTGAAGGAGTGAGTCCACTGGTCCATGTTCTCCTGCAGTCAGTGAGACATAGATCTGAGTGTCGTCTGCATAGTTATAATAGGACACTTTGTTTCTGCGTATTAACTGACCTAACGGCAGCATGTAGAGATTGAACAGAAGAGCCCTGTGGTACTCCACGGGTCAGGGCCATATGATCTGAGACACAGTTTCCAATCTCCACAAAGTACTTCCTGTCTTCAAGGTAAGACCTAAACCAACTTAGGGCGGTGCCAGCGACTCCAACACCTTTAGTAGTAGTAGTAGCTGCAGTAGTTGTTTGAGTTTGAGTTTGAGTTTATTTATTTAAGTGTCATGCACAAAAGTGCCCAGCCCACATGGGCTTATATGACACTGAACAACAACATCTGATGGCTACAGACGATATACAGACCATATACAGACATGAAAAACAGAAAAAGATTTACAATTTGGTGCATTATCCAGGGTACAGAATCTGTTGTCTCCTCTCCCAGGCTTTAGCAACAAAAGAAGCAAAGGCAAAAACTTCATGGCAATACATCCAGTTCATAATTTCTCCCTCAGGCCACCAAAAAACCTCTGGGTTAGAAGCATTCACTTTTTCAAATAAAATGTTTCGATATTCAAAGTAAAGTGGACAATACAAAACAAAATGAGGCTCATCTTCTACCACCCCCAGGTCACACACTGTAAAGAGACGGGCCTCTTCAGGAACCACTTTAAAGCGGCCCACCTCCACTGCTAGAGGCAAAGTGCCGGTCCTCAGCTGGGCTAACAGAGAGCGCTGCCTTCTCTGTACATTTAACTGTACGTACAGTTCTGTGTAAAACTCCTGTTTGAATAAAATATAATGTCTTAACTTAGGTTTCCTGCAAATATCAAGTTTCCATTGTGCTTTAAACTCTGTTAATGCATTTTGTCTAAACAAACTTATATCACACCTTAATTTATTTAAATAAACATAATTTAAATGAGAACTTAAGAATACTTCTGCCATTTCTCTAGACCAGGGGTAATTGTTTGAACAATTCCAAATAAAAATCTTTTTTGTGAGCCTGTGATTGGGAAGCTGGATAAGGCGGTTCCATAAACGCACCATTTCAGCCCTTTGCTTAATGAGACACGGCTCCATCCCATGTCCCCCTGTATCGCTGGTATTGGGGTGAATTTATGCACTCCCAAAAATGTTCTAATAGCTCTATTCTGGAGAGCATTAACGTGATCAATCTCCTTGAAACCCCAAACTCCCGCTGCATAGAATAGAATAGAGCTGACCAAAGAGTCATACAGTTGTGTATACACAGAGAAACTTAAGTCTGGGACAATTTTCATTTTACTCACAATGGAGCCCAGAGCTCTCCCTGCAGACTCACACAGAGACTGGGTTAAAGGAGCCCAGAGCTCTCCCTGCAGACTCACACAGAGACTGGGTTAAAGGAGCCCAGAGCTCTCCCTGCAGACTCACACAGAGACTGGGTTAAAGGAGCCCAGAGCTCTCCCTGCAGACTCACACAGAGACTGGGTTAAAGGAGCCCAGAGCTCTCCCTGCAGACTCACACAGAGACTGGGTTAAAGGAGCCCAGAGCTCTCCCTGCAGACTCACACAGAGACTGGGTTAAAGGAGCCCAGAGCTCTCCCTGCAGACTCACACAGAGACTGGGTTAAAGGAGCCCAGAGCTCTCCCTGCTCACTCACACAGAGACTGGGTTCCCTCTGTAAAAACCATGAACTCATTGAAGACCAATAGTAGTAGTAGTAGCTGCAGTAGTAGTAGTAGCTGCAGTAGTAGTAGCTGCAGTAGTAGTAGTAGTAGCTGCAGTAGTAGTAGTAGTAGCTGCAGTAGTAGCAGTAGCAGTAGCACTAGCAGCAGCAGCAGTAGCAGTAGAATCAGCAGTAGCAGCGGTATAATGAGCAGTAGCAGCAGTATAATCAGCAGTAGCAGTAGCAGCGGTATAATGCGCAGTAGCAGTAGCAGCAGTATAATCAGCAGTAGCAGTAGCAGCGGTATAATGAGCAGTAGCAGCAGTATAATCAGCAGTAGCAGTAGCAGCGGTATAATGCGCAGTAGCAGTAGCAGCAGTATAATCAGCAGTAGCAGTAGCAGCGGTATAATGAGCAGTAGCAGTAGCAGCAGTATAATCAGCAGTAGCAGCAGTGTCCTTGACTCTCTCCCCCAAGACCAGTGTGTGACATCACATCTCACCTCAGACGTGCTGCCGGTGCTGTCGAACTCCGGAGGGACGAAGCTGCCCTCGGGGTCATCTGCAACAGAGACACAGCATTAACACAGAGACACAGCATTAACACAGAGACACAGCATTAACACAGAGACTTAACACAGAGGCACAGCATTAACACAGAGACACAGCATTAACACAGAGACACAGCATTAACACAGAGACTTAACACAGAGGCACAGCATTAACACAGAGACACAGCATTAACACAGAGACTTAACACAGAGACTTAACACAGAGACTTAACACAGAGACACAGTATTAACACAGAGACACAGCATTAACACAGAGACACAGCATTAACACAGAGACACAGCATTAACACAGAGACTTAACACAGAGGCACAGCATTAACACAGAGACACAGCATTAACACAGAGACTTAACACAGAGGCACAGCATTAACACAGAGACTTAACACAGAGACTTAACACAGAGACACAGCATTAACACAGAGACACAGCATTAACACAGAGACACAGCATTAACACAGAGACACAGCATTAACACAGAGACACACACCTCGGTTTGGAAAAGAAGTCAGTCGTATTTATTTATATAGTGCTTCATCTCACAGAACAGGGTCACACGAACAGCTCAGGTTCACTGCTTTTTCCGTTCATTTCACACACGGTGACAGAGACCACCACTCACTCAGCAAATACTCCACATAGTTTTAGTTCTCGTGGAAACCAGAGTGCCCCAAGGAAACCTACGCAAACCAAGGACATGCAGACAAGCGAGGCAGCGGAGGCCGTCATAAATAATAGAGTATTTTATTTTATTATTGTAATAATCATGATAATGCATTGGTTTTATACAGCGCTTATTTGGACACTCAAAGACGCTTTACATGTCATTATTCTGACTGACAGAAGCGAGGCAACCAGTCTGTGCCCCCCAACCATTCACACACACACCAGACTCATTCTAGGCAATGGGGTGAAGTGTCTTGCCTAAGGACACAACAGCAGTTTGGCACTTTACTGTGGCATCAGGTGTTCCCAGAGGTGTCTTGCCCAAGGCCACAACGACAGCAGACAGTGGGAGTCGATGGTGAAAGTCTGGCTCAAAGGCCAAAGCTCTACCAACTGAGCTACTGTCAGAAGGAGAAACATTGTAGTTATTGTTTTTCACTGTCATAAGTTTTGAATGTATTTTTGCCGCAGTTTCCGACCAGTTTTGATCATTTTTGGAGTCAAAAATCGCTGAATCCTTTTTTCCTGAGAGGCGACCATGTTCAAAACTACTGTAGGTTGAAACGATCAGATGTTCTTGAACAGATATTCATATTGTTAATATCTGTTTAGCTTTGTATACATCCATTTTCATCTGTGTTTTTGAACCCACATTTCAGTAAGAGCTGTAGGCACAAGACCTTTATACTGCACTTATTTATTTGTGTTGTTGGCATGTTTATTTATTTATTGATTGCCAGAACAAGACCTTTAACTTGTTCTGGCAATCAATCGGATCTTAATCCCTGCGGATCTGCAGGGATTAAGATCCGCACCTTCAAATCCGAGGCCATGGTGCTCGACCGGAAGAAGGTGCTTTGTCCTGATGCCCTCAGGAGGAGCTGGAGAGGTCCTTCTGTGGTGAAGGAGCTCAAGTCTCTGGGGATGTTCTTTCTGAGTGACTTTAGGATGGAGTGTGAGACTGGCAGAAGGATCGAAGCAGCGCCTGATGATGACTGTGACGGAAAATGATATAGTTCTAGCGCCCGGCCAGTGTAGACACTTTGCACTTCAAATCCGGATCGGAGGCTTTGAATTGCTTCACAGTGACTCTGTGTAAACAAGGCCAAAGGAAGTGCCACTCTGCAGAGGAAACTACCTTAGTCATCAGCCATTACCCAAATGTTATGGCACGTAGTCTGACCGGTGGACTTGAGAATAACACAATCGGCATCAGGCGCTGCTTCGATCCTTCTGCCAGTCTCACACTCCATCCTAAAGTCACTCAGAAAGAACATCCCCAGAGACTTGAGCTCCTTCACCACAGAAGGACCTCTCCAGCTCCTCCTGAGGGCATCAGGACAAAGCACCTTCTTCCGGTCGAGCACCATGGCCTCGGATTTGAAGGTGCGGATCTTAATCCCTGCAGATCCACAGGGATTAAGATCTGATTGATTGCCAAAACAAGTTAAAGGTCTTGTTCTGGCAATCAATAAATCAATAAACATGCCAACAACACAAATAAATAAAATAAATTGGTCCTGTGGCCTCGGTCCTGTGGCCTCGGTCCTGTGGCCTCGGTCCTGTGATTTTGGTCCTGTGGTTTTGGTCCTGTGTCAGTCTCAGTCAGTCCTGTATTGTCTCTTGTTTGTTTAAATAAAGCTTTTCAAACTTCAGCACCGGGTTGTGCGCAGTGACATCACTCAGTACTATGTGTGTGTTGTGGTGATCTGTTGTCATGGCAACAGTCACTATGGCACGACGCAGAAAACCAGCGACAGCGAAGCCCCGCCCCCGCCGCCGCAGAAAGGCAGCGAAAGGGAAGAAGAGGCGGAGCTTGAAGCGCCTGGGCAAGCGCCGCTCATAATGACCGACACTGAATAAACTTTTAGCATCCAGCTTTTGTTTTTGATTTTTTTTTTTCAAACCTGTAAAAATAAAGATGAATTAAAAAATAGCTGTTTACAACCGTGGTGAAGAGTGAACTCTCTGACTGCGATGGCCTCAACACTTCTCCTCCATAAACGCTTGGACAGGACCCCACGACCTTCAGGCCCAGAGGCCACAACTAATGCTACAGCTTCCAGCGTTAGTTGTGGCCTCTGTTTACAACCACGGTTGTAAACAGCTATTTTTTAATTCATCTTTATTTTTACAGATTTGAAAAAAAAAAATCAAAAACAAAAGCTGGATGCTAAAAGTTTATTCAGTGTCGGTCATTATGAGCGGCGCTTGCCCAGGCGTTTCAAGCTCCGCCTCTTCTTCCCTTTCGCTGCCTTTCTGCGGCGGCGGGGGCGGGGCTTCGCTGTCGCTGGTTTTCTGCGTCGTGCCATAGTGACTGTTGCCATGACAACAGATCACCACAACACACACATAGTACTGAGTGATGTCACTGCGCACAACCCGGTGCTGAAGTTTGAAAAGCTTTATTTAAACAAACAAGAGACAATACAGGACTGACTGAGACTGACACAGGACCAAAACCACAGGACCAAAACCACAGGACCGAGGCCACAGGACCGAGGCCACAGGACCAAGGGCACTGGACCCCCAAGACTGAGGCCTTCTGCCCCTGAACTTTGACTCAGCGATAATCGCACTGGTCCAGACCAGAGCAGAGAGGATTCATGGTTTTACACTGGTCCAGACCAGAGCAGAGAGGATTCATGGTTTTACACTGGTCCAGACCAGAGCAGAGAGGATTCATGGTTTTACACTGGTCCAGACCAGAGCAGAGAGGATTCATGGTTTTACACTGGTCCAGACCAGAGCAGAGAGGATTCATGGTTTTACACTGGTCCAGACCAGAGCAGAGAGGATTCATGGTTTTACACTGGTCCAGACCAGAGCAGAGAGGATTCATGGTTTTACACTGGTCCAGACCAGAGCAGAGAGGATTCATGGTTTTACACTGGTCCAGACCAGGGCAGAGAGGATTCATGGTTTTACACTGGTCCAGACCAGGGCAGAGAGGATTCATGGTTTTACACTGGTCCAGACCAGGGCAGAGAGGATTCATGGTTTTACACTGGTCCTTCAGGTACAATAGTGTAGTTGATGAGTGGAATTATACAGTAGGAGCTCAGAGTAGAGCTGCTGCTTCTCCACGTTGGGAGGAGACAGGAGGAAGAAGGAAACTGAACGGCAAGGATTAAGTGGGTGCGTGCGTGCGTGTGTGTGTGTGTGTGTGTGTGTGTCTGTGTGTGTGTGTGTGTCTGTGTGTGTGTGTGTCTGTGTGTGTGTGTGTGGCTGTGTGTGTGTGTCTGTGTGTGTCTGTGTATGTGTCTGTGTGTGTGTGTGTGTGTGTGTCTGTGTGTGTCTGTGTATGTGTCTGTGTGTGTGTGTGTGTGTCTGTGTGTGTGTGTGTGTTTGTGTGTGTGTGTGTGTGGCTGTGTGTGTGTGTCTGTGTGTGTCTGTGTATGTGTCTGTGTGTGTGTGTGTGTGTGTGTGTCTGTGTGTGTGTGTGTGTGTGTGTGTCTGTGTCTGTGTGTGTCTGTGTCTGTGTGTGTGTGTGTGTGTGTGTGTGTCTGTGTGTGTGTGTCTGTGTGTGTCTGTGTGTGTGTGTGTGTGTGTGTGTTTGCTCCTAAAAACCACACATTATCATTTTTTACCTGTGTATCTTTGGTGTGACCCTAACATAAAGCACTCCTAGTTTAGGTGAGAGTGGGGAAGAAACACGCTAACGCTGTGATGGTGTTTCCGTGGTGACGCAGATCTGTGAGTCATAAAAGCTGCAGGTTTCACAGCTTTTCAAAACAAAATCATTTCCTCCCAAAGGAAAGAGCTGCAGTCGTAACCACCGCAGGCAACAGAGCGGCAAACCTCCCTCCAGTCACTCAGAGCGTCCATCGATGGATTAAACTTGAAAAAAAGTGAAAGCTACGACCCAATACTGAGCAGTTTACAAAGGCCAAATACAAAATCAGTTGAATTATTTAATCGTAAAAAGTACTTCTGCCACAGTCTCATAACACTTTAGAGTTATTGGTTGTGCCTCTGATCACACCACACCATCTTATGCATTATTGTTTGTTGATATGTTAGAACTGTTGTAATGTGTAGTTTATTTTAAATTTTTTGTTTTTTTTTTTTGTCTGTGTCTGTGTTGGTCTGGACTTCGAGTCTGCAAATGAAGTTATCCATCTATCTATCTTTTTGTATGTATGGATGTTTCTGCTGCTGGACACCTGAATTTATCTAACTGGAGATCAATAAAGTATCTATCTATCTATTTAATCTAACATGTTATCCATCGATCAATCCATTTTCTTCCGCTTAATCCATTTCTGGGTCGGGGAGTGGCAGTCAGAGCTGCACCCAGTCCACAGAGCACCAGCCCCTCACTGATCCTCCTGCAGGTGCTGAGTCCACAGGAGCTGAGATCTTCCAGTGGGGGCTTCAGGCAAAGCGAGGTTAAGTGTGTTGCCCAAGGACACAACGACAGCAGTCATCAGTGGGAGTCTTGTGGTGGGCTCGAACGACAAGACCTCTCTAGTTTTCATTTTATTCTGTCTGAAAAAGCTGATCTGAAGAAGTGATGGAGGAAAAATGCATCTGTGTGAAAACGAGTGAATGAATCCAATAGTTTTGAGAACCAAGTATGGATTTTACATGTTTCCATTGTTTGTAGTTTGAAAGTCCTGTACCCAGCTGCAGTGTGTTCAAACTGCTGCAGCTCGAGTCCTGACGAGAACCAGGAAGTACCAACACATTAGTCCAGTTCTCAGGTCTCTGCTTCTTGTAGATCAGAGAATATAGACTTATATTACCTCTGCTTGTTATAAGTCTCTCCAAGGCCTCGCACCAAAACACATGTTACTGTCATAAGAACCAGCTCAGGGACTGGGCCTCCTGCTGGGACTCTGAGGAGCACAGGGACTGGCCTCCTGCTGGGGCTCTGAGGAGCACAGGGACTGGCCTCCTGCTGGGACTCTGAGGAGCACAGGGACTGGCCTCCTGCTGGGACTCTGAGAAGCACAGGGACTGGCCTCCTGCTGGGACTGAGGAGCACAGGGACTGGCCTCCTGCTGGGACTCTGAGGAGCACAGGGACTGGCCTCCTGCTGGGACTCTGAGGAGCACAGGGACTGGCCTCCTGCTGGGACTCTGAGAAGCACAGGGACTGGCCTCCTGCTGGGACTGAGGAGCACAGGGACTGGCCTCCTGCTGGGACTCTGAGGAGCACAGGGACCGGCCTCCTGCTGGGACTCTGAGGAGCACAGGGACTGGTGCCCAGAGTCAGAACTAAACATGGGGAGGCAGCGTTTCAGATGTACACTGCTAAGAACTAGAAGACGTTTCTCTTTTGAATGCACTGTGAATATGTATGCCTTGTGTCACTTAGAGTTTCCTCGTGGATGAACGGTGCTATACAAATAAACGTGTCTTGCCTCAGCTTTAACGATAAAAAAATGTCTTTGTTGCCTGCTCCAAGCCCAAGGAGCTGAGGTCTTCTCCCCCAGCGAGTGGAAGTGGATCTCTCTCAGCTCCACACGCTACAGTTATTGTTGATTCTCTGTAATCGTCTGTTGGAGTTTCAAACCTCTCTCGGCTTCGATCTCCCGCTTCGCCTTCAATTAGATGCGATCGATGTGAAAGTGTGGAAGGGTTTAAGCGTAATGATTTCTGCGTTTCATTTGTGCGACTCCCACAGAGATAGTGGCTCAGCTCTCTCTCGCTGCAGAAGAATCGTTTCACCGGGACCACAATCCAACGGCACCAGATGGAAAATCAGTTTATTGAGCCCAAGGAAACATCTTCATGTACAGTCTCTGGACATTCGTCAAAGATTAGTGAGTAAGTAAGTGAGTAATCTTTAATTATATAGCGCCTTTCACAGACCAGCCTCAAAAAGCGCTTTATAAATGTGTTGTTTTTTGGGAATTTTGTCTCAGTCTCAGTGCGTCACCTACAGGAGGCACATGCCAGACCCATTGTCCATGTTTAAAAGTGTTAGGGGAAACCCGGAGCACCCAGAGGACACCTACAGTATGCAGACAAGGGAAGAACATGCAAACTCCACACAGAAAGGGCTGGAGGTGGAATTGAACACAAGCGTTAACCACTGCCACCACCATTAGCCACCATGAGTAATCCGGTGATTCATAGTTTTAAAATCTGTCAGTCTTATTTAATGCAACCTAAATAATAATAATAATAACAATAATAATAATAGAATGGAAAATCTGTTTTTAAGGAATTATCTATATGTAAGCAAGTATTATTTCCATCTATCCATCCGTTTTCTACCCCTTAATCCACTTCTGGGTCGGAAGTCACAAGCACCAGCCGTTCAGCGAGTCCTATGTCCCTTTAAACAAAACAAGGAAATGAGTATATGAACTCTCACTATGAAGTTAATAATGTTTTCCACGTACAAAAGTTAAAGTCCTCCAGCTCTGGTCCTGACCAAGACCCTGTGCTCTGTACTACAGGGATCACTGCTCCTGACAGACTACGCTATAGGTGGTAATTAGGGCTGCACGATCTATCAAAAAAATATTGTTATCGCGATATTGGTGCGTGCAATATCCATATAAAAAATATCCACGCAAAATAAAAACATTTCTTTTTTTTTCAAAACAGACACATCAACATTCAACAAGAACAACAAACAAACACATAAGTACAGTACATAAATACATGCATTTGAATGTCATTAATGTTTTGTTATGTGTCTCTTGGGTTTCAATGCAGATCGCAATTTTAGGTGAAAGAAGAAAAATATTCCAATAATATCGTTATCGCAATACTAAACACTCATTTTAAATATCGCACTAATTTCTAAAATTGTGCAGCCCGAGTGGTAATCCGATCAAAACAAAAGTAAATAGGAGGATTTTCTAATTTTCTACTTCCGGGTGTATCATCAAGACTATTGGTCCTCTGAACTGTCAATCATTCTGGTGTTACATGCTCGTCCAATACGGCCAGAGTTTTGTTCAAAAAGTGGAGAAGGTGGTTCTTTTCGAAAATTTAGGAAAATCCTCCATCAAATAGTGTCCAAAATATTGAATCAGGATATGTTCTAATCCCTGTTGACAGTCCATTTGACCTGAGAATCGCACATGGGTTAAAAACTCTACCAAATAACATACAACACGTTCCAACACTGAGCTCATTCACCAGAAAACCAGCCACTCAGTTCTTCAGGGATGTCCGACGTCTTTGTGAAGCACATGGGGTTGTAATTTAGTGTGGACTCTGCAAAATAAATTCCTTCCTCTCAGCTCTGTTCCAACGACTTCCAATGCCACCCATCCATTGTCGTCCGTCTATCTGGAGCCAGGTCTGAGCAGAGACCACCCGACATCCCAGACCCACCACTGACTTCATTCTCATGTAATTGCATCCAAGTTTGAACAATCGCACATACTATTCTTTGCTCTTAAGCCACACACTTCCGACTGAATCTACTTTTTTCCGCTTGCGTTTCCCCCATTCTCCTCAACCAGGCCTGGAGCTGCCCCAGAACCAAAGTTACTCCAGACTACATTGGCAGTATTGCTTGCAGACTTGGCCGTGTCCATTGCCCAATTTTAAAACAAGACATGGGGAAAAAGACAAATGTTGGTGTTTTGAGGTAAAATAAAAGTACTGTGGTTTCATTTTCTTCCTGAAAAAGGGCGGCACGGTGGCTGAGTGGATAGCACTCTCGCCTCTCAGCAAGAAGGTCCTGGGTTCGAATCCCGGTCGGACCAGGGCCTTTCTGAGTGGAGTTTGCATGTTCTCCCCGTGTCTGCGTAGGTTTCCTCCGGGTACTCCGGTTTCCCCTACCACTAAAAATATGTACAATAGTTCTGGCATGCGCCTCCTGTACTGGCGACCCTGCTCCCATCTCTGTGTGGAGTGAGAGACAAATGCCCAAAATTAACAATTGTAAACCGCTTTGAGACTCAGAGCTGCAGTGAAAAGGCAGTATATAAATAAAGATTACTAAAGATTACAGTATTGCTTGCAGACTTGGCCGTGTCCATAGCCCAATTTTAAAACAAGACATGGGGAAAAAGACAAATGTTGGTGTTTTGAGGTAAAACAAAAGTACTGTGGTTTCATTTTCTTCCTCTCAAATGAGTTATCGATGTGGACAAACGGCCGGGTCAATGTAATTTGCCAGTTCTGTGTGAAGGGACCTGAGCAGTTTGGAAAGTGATGAATTCAAACGTGTAGCTAGGTCCCTGTCGAGTGGAAAAGTTCCGTAAGCAAAACACTTTTTTTTTTTTATTCTCAAATGTAGAGATTGGGTTGAGGCGACCGGAGCCACGGTGAGACAGCAGAGTGCAAATGTGCAATCAGATGTGGATCACAGACGAACAGGGACATTTATGGAGACGAAATGCAGGCTGTGCCCCTGAAGTCCTGCTCACCAATGTTTGACTGCTCTGAGTTTATTTCACTCACTTCAGTACAATCATACATATTGTTACAGATCAGGACTTTTACGGCAAAAAGATGGAAATGGTGAAGGCTGAAGCTGATGCCTGTTTTGCTTACACCCTTTTTAAGTGAAAACAGACAACAGGATTTACATGAGCAACTGTATAAACTGTAGCCATCCAAAGTTATAGTTTTAAACTTACTATTGAAGTGGAGAAGGGAATTACATGATTTAAGTTCATCCGTGCATTCATTTCTGTGATCAACCTCTCTGACAAATAAACATTTCATTACATTAGTTCAAAATGGTTGCTTTTTTATCCACACAACTCGTAAAATCTGTCTCCCGTTGGGTTCCTTGTTTTCTAACCTACCTAGAAAGTGTGTCGGTGGATAGGTAAGTCTGGGCGTCTCTGCTTAGACTGCGGCCCCCAACACCCGGCAACAGATGAAGTGGAAGAAGATGCATGGAAGGCAGTATGTAATACAAATCCATCCAGCGTGTTCTTGTCTCTCAAAACAGTTTGATTTCATATTTAGTTCTTCTTATGCATTTATGTTTTAGCCTCTGTCACATTTTTAATTACAAAAAAATTTTTTTTTTATTAATTTGAAAAAAAAAGAGATGACCCTTACTCAGCCAGAGATTCCACCACTTATCAGCCAGAGCTCGTCAGACCTCTGAAACTTAGCAAGACAGGGCCTGGTTAGTACTGTGATGGGAGACCTCTGGGAACAGAAGGTGCCACAGTGGGGCGGCTGCGGCTGTAAAGTGAATACCATGTTTGATGTTTGAAGAAGAATTATGCATAACAGTTGTCCTTTAAGTCCAGACCCAGTGTGCGTGGATGACTCACCGCTGAGCTGCTCCATGAAGCACACGTTGCCATGGGCGTTGAAGGCGAGCGTGTCGGGGGTGATGCACAGCGAGTGGAAGAGCTGGGTCTGGCTGATGCTCTGCAGGGCCAGGCCACACTCCACACACACGGCCCACACCTCGTCCTCCTGCAGGCACGAGTCCCGCAGAGACAGGATGTCCGCCAGAGACACGTTCTCCTGTGGACCAGAGGGAAGGAGGCTGTGATCCACCATGTGTGCGGATGGACCATGCTAACACGCTAGCTAGTATGGGTGAAGTTTTGGCTCCATTCACTTGCATTGGAAACTCTTTAAAATGAGGTACAACATGCCGTGGTGGCTGTATTAACAGATTGTGCTCTACCCTCGGGTCTAAGTGAGACTACGCAGTGAAGTTAGGGGCTTCATGGGTCTAAATGAGCCAGGGCTGGTTATGAGAAGTCATCAACATTCAGCTAAAAATATATATATCTAGGGAATTTTTTAAGGGTTAAAGTGACTCTCTGGAAAACATTTTTTCTTCCAGATCTGCAGCACTTCAGGAAAAACTTAGACAGAGTTTATTGATCCTCAAGGGGAATTGCGTTGTCACAGTAACTTGCATAGTATTCCACAATAAAAATAACAATTAAGTAGAAATCTGAAAATAATAATAATAAGATAATATTGTGAGAATAGAATAATCTGGATATAGGTACTGAAGAAGATGACAAAAAAGTACTCAGAAATGTACATATCTGTGAATATGTGCACATTCACAGTATAATATACAGAGATACATCATCATAAATACCAGTAGAGTTCGTGGCAAATCCATTCCCATATTGTCAAGTTCGTTAAAACCAAAGGAAAATGGGCAAACACACATTAATGACGGTTTGGCTTCTGTTGCTCCTTATGATTCAACTTACACAAAGCAAAGTCTTCCGCTCCAGTCAGAAAAATTGGAAGAACAAAGTTGTATTCACGTTTTAAAAGCTCATAAATCTGACTCATCATTCCATGCGCGGTTTAAGGAACCTGAAATGCTGTATAAGAGGTTATTTTGATTTAATGCAAACGGAGGAACTGTTTTACACTGCTGCTTACTCCCACGCACACTTACAAAAATCCCAGCCAGAAAAAATAAAAATCTCACTGCGGCGTAACTGCTGTAGTTGAACAAGAAATCACCAACTCTGCAGAGACTCTTCCTCCGTCTCTATTATAATCTAATATCTCTATTGTTTTATCCTCTGTATACAGTTTGTGTTTTCAGCCATCCGTGCACATGGTTGCATTTGCCCAGTAACACCTGTTCTGTCGGGGATTAAGTCTTTGTGAGAAATGAATGAGCCGATTCCCTGCTGGATCTCTGTATAAGAGCTAATTAGCATATACAGTACAGAACAGGCACTGATGATGAAGTCGTTAAACAAGAGCCTGCTTTTATTACACGAGAAACACACTAATACTTAATTGTATATTTCAAACATGTACAAAATATACAGACATTTTTTTAAAGAAAACTTGTGCATGGATTGAAAGATGTTTGGTCGAAGCAAAACGGTTACAATCAAAACCCTACAATACCTTCCAACAAAACACAGCAATATGACACACACACGCACAGACACACACGCACACAGACACACACACACAAAGACACACAGACACACACACGCACACAAATACACACACAAACACTCACACACACACGCGCAGACACGCACACACACAGACACGCACAGACACACAAACACACACGCACACACACACACACACACACACAGACACGCACACACATACGCGTTTGCGTGACAAATCAGGACCTATGTCTTCACTGTGACATATCAGGACGTGTCTTTCTGAAGGTCCCAGAGACCTGAGGATCACATACAGTAGGGGGGAGCAGGGTGTGATCAGTTATACAGCTAGCTGTTCATATTTTGGTTACAAGAAACTTTTTCCCCGCCAGATTTTATTGCCATCGCATGGCGCCGTAAAGATGGCGCCGTGGCAAGAGCTCTGGTCTGGTGCACACCGGGGTAGTCTTGCACAGTTTTTCCAATGTGGTTTTACTGCAAATGGCAAATAAATGAATCTGAATCTGAATCTGAGGACTTTGACAGGTTTGACAGGCTTCCTCCTCTGCTCACACACCTCTGTCTCCTCCTCCTCACACAGAAGATGCAAGTATCCATCTCTCCGTACACTGGGCTCATTCCCGTTACTTTCTTCGTTCCTCTCTCAGACCCAGACACTGCTAAACTTATCTGACAGCTCCGTAAAGTTTGTTTCGGAGGACCTGCAGCGTACATAGCTGCCCTCGTGCCTGCCTGTTTACAAATCGCTTTTGGTGAAAATTTGACTTTACTTGTATAATAATGTACTTTTGATCAAAAGAAATCACAGAGGTCCAGAAAAAGGGGTTTAGGGGTCCGAACTTGGAGCGCAGTCCGCCCTTTAGGGACCCTTGAACTAGTGTATTTATTAAAAAATAAAAAGGAAGGAAGATTGCGAGGCCCTGTGCGACGGCACAGGTCGCACAGCCCCTCCGACGGGCCTGCACCCGGCATCTTCACGGGAAGAAGTATCTTGTTTAATGCTACTGAATGAAAAAGTGTTTGGGTTGTATTCTTTTCCTCAACTCCTTAAAATAAAAGGCCCCTTTGAGGTGATTTTCACGTCTGGCCGGAGAGATGTTGATGTGATGTGTGCAGAGAACTTGAGTTTGCATATACAAAGCTAGTTTTGTCTTTACCCAGTATGATCGCTACTTTACTCAAGCTCCAATAGAAACTTTAGAACACTAATGATCAACTTGTTTGATCTGGCCCACAATTTTATTCCAAAAGTCTGAGGATCAAAAGACTAAATCAAAAAGATTTGTGTTTGGGATAGATATGTTTCTGCTTCTATATATCTATTTATCCATCCATCCATCCTTCCATCTATGGACACTTCCTGAGGCTGCATAATCCAGCTCTGTGGTTTGACTTCGTACCAGTTATGTACAAAGTTACAAGGCAAAACACACATCAATGGAAACAGCTGCACTTCATACAAAAATGAATGCATTTTATTTTCAGTATAGTCTTTGGATGACACACTTTAATATAATATCACCTTTAACGCAAAGCAAAACAATGTCTAATAAATATTTTGACTTTGCGTTGGAGATTTGAAGTTGGCCCATGACATACAATTTCTATCACCAAAAATAAAAAGACTTCTCCCCCTGAACATTGCTTATTCAGTGAAATACATCCATTTGTTTCAAAAGATGCATTTCATTATTTTCTTTTAGACTTTTCTTGAACATGACATTGAATCACCATGGCAACAGAACATGGCGATGTCATTCTGTTTGTCTAAGCGGAACATTCTATCACCACAGCAACCAACACCATGTCATCGTAACAGGGCTGGACTGGGACAAAAAAACGGCCCGGGCATTTTTTCCTTTTTAGCGGCCCAGGCAACTCAAAAGGTTCAAGGAGCCATATTTGACAAAAAAAAAAACAGCGTTGTATAAGGCTTATATGAAGGTAACAGGGTCTGAAGCTGTATTAGCTACATTAGCTACCTTAGCTACATTAGCTATATTAGCTATATTAGCTATATTAGACTAATATCTAAATGACAAAGTAAAGGCTACAAACACATAAAAACCATTCATGATTATCAAATGTGTATTTTCATTGCAGCGTGTCCTGGAGAGAATGACGCACCACGTGACAACTCTGCTTTAAGTTAAACTTTTTTTGCCTTCATGCAATTGTACAAATACAGTAAATACATCTGCTTTTTGGCTCAGTTCACCTGCATCACTGTCTGTTCATATCCATCACGTCACAGGCTGAAGTTTGCTGGAGCTGAATGTCCTTAATGGCCTTTTCTTTCACCGTCTCTGTGGAGGTTTTTGAAGTCTGAAAATAGGTGCTCTGACTTTATGATGAATGAATCTTTCAGTGAACGGTGTTTAAAGCTTCATTGTTCATTATTGTTTTCATTACATCGCGAACATGAAGCAGTCCTTCCTCATTGACTGAAAGCAAAAGTTCATTCTCATTCTTAGTCCAGTCTTATCGACTCTTTCTCTCTGTATCTTTGGGATCCATGCACACACACAGTCTATAATGCACACACGCCGGTTTGTTTACAGCAGCAGCCGCCTGGCACGGGCCGCGTCACAGGATATGACGCACTACGTACAGAAATGCTAAAATTTAATATTACTTATACAAGTTTTTGCAGCATTGAAAAATGTTAAGAATGTTTTTCCTCCTACAGAAACCACATTGAAAATATAGCCCTCACACTCCATTTTCAGACATTTTTGAAAAGGCTCCAGGAGCCACTTTAGGGGCACTAAAGGTTGACCCCTGGTTTATACAGTATGTGGAAGCAAATAGTGTAGAGGATCAGGATGTCTGCAGTTTCAACAATAAAATAAAGTACAATAGTCTACATTAAACAGAGTAATAAACATGCCTCAGAGTGAGGGAGGTGACACAGACAATACTATTGTTTGTTACAGGGATGAGAATTGGTCAAAAATATCTGAAATGCATATTGTCAGCCATTTGCTGGCTCTAAATCTGTTTAATCTGTTCACAACATTTTACTTTTGGGCTCAAACATGAACTTTTAATGCAATGGAAAATTTAGGTACCCGAGCTTTAATTTAGAGGAGAGGGGAGACGCGGGCTGTTTTCTGCAGCCGTGTATTTATTGGGTGCACAAATTACGAAAAGACATGCATGGTCCTGTGCGCGTTTATGGTCTTGGGTACATGGTCACATTGCGGCTACGCACTCGCCGTGTTGTGTTGTGAGCGGTTCTTGCGTCCAGCTCAGAGCCGCTGGATGTGGGAACACTGCGGCCGCTGAGGTGGTGGAATCCCGTTCGAGTACATACAGCAGGTGCCCCGCGGACACGCGCGCTCCCCACAGACATTTCTCAACGGATTTACACTTTTCACAAACATGTTTTTTTGTATGAGGCAGACAGACCGGCCCAAATATGGGCATCGGCCCTTCGGGCATTGCCCGGTACGCCCGATGGCCAGTCCAGCCCTGCATCGTAACCACGGCTCTGAAAAGTTCATGTGTGTGAAGAAAGACAAGACAAGTGACTTAAACAAACCCGAGGGAAATACGAGGATCAGAGCCCAGATTGACAAAGCAAAGCAAACGATACAACACTGACAAGATGTGGTGTTTTAGAAGAAACAGGAGTAAAAAGGAGCT